TAATTCAGCTTTAACAAAAGTCAAATTATATCCCCTAAAATATATGTAAAATATATAAAATAAATATAGACAATAAAAATTGTTATAGTCAGGGCAGTTGAGGATTAATCACTAAAAGATACAACGATAAGTACTGTAATAGGGCAGATGTGATCAGGTTGTTGTAAAGAATTTTAGATTAGAAATAAAAATCTCCTAACAGAAAATGTTGTGGGAAATTTAAAATTACTAGAGAAGGTTGCAGAGTTTCCTTCATTGCAGAGTGAAAAATCTGAGTTAAGATCCAGCCCAGTGGCGTAGTGGTTAAGTGCACATGCTACGCTTTGGCGGCCTGGGGTTCACCGGTTCGGATCCCGGGTGCGGACATGGCACTGCTTGGTAAGCTATCATGTGGTAGGCGTCCCACATAGAAAGTAGAGGAAGATGGGCACAGATGTTAGCTCAGGGCCAGTCTTCCTCAGCAAAAAGAGGAGGATTGGCAGCTGATGTTAGCTCAGGGCTAATCTTCCTCAAAAAAAAAAACAAAAACTGAGTTAAAATGAGGAACTCTCTATCTTGAGTAGTTTAGGCACAATCGCTACTAGAGATGGCATGCTGAACTCTTTCCATGTTGTAAGGGGATCTGATGCTCTTGACTTGGGTAAGCCTCTTGCCATCTTATATTCCTGCTTTGGTTCGGGTTAGATGCAGTGCAGTTAAGGGAAGACAATCTTTCGCTAATTTGTTGATATTTTCCTAATATCTTCTAAGGAGTAGGTCATTATCAGTATTCCTATTTGAGTGGTTTGCTAGTCAGTGACTATTTTGTTAGCAAAATGCCTCCATTTCTGACTGAAGCTCATGTTACTTTTGTCTGTGGACCACACTTACACAAGAAATGTATACATTGTAGAAGAAAGCTGTAAATACACACATAATTTCTGTCAGCACTAAGAAGAATTGGGATGCTAATATTGACTGAGCTCTGGCTTTGTAACAGACACTGGACTCAGTGCTTTACTGGGATTGTCTCTCTAATCCACAGACACTCCGCAGAGCTGTGAGTTCCTGCTCTGCCCTCACTTAGCAGCTGCGAGACTGAGGCTGAGAGAACCAAGGAAACATGTTCACAGCCACACATGTAAGAAAGGATGCTCTTAGTTTTCCATCTAAGTCAGTCCGACTCCAGAGTTTAGGCACTGAATCACTCTGCTGTTACATTAGTGGTTTCCAGTCAGGAATTCACAGATTAGCAATTGCCTGTGATTCACTTCCCTGCAGAAACTTCTCTCATTTTTTAAGTTCTAACACTGTTGTGCGGAACAATGAAATATCTTTAGAACACTGGTTCTCAAACTTGGCTGCACTTTGGAATCACCTGGGAGTTAAACTGGTGGGCGGGTCCCACCCTCATGTGTTCTGATTTGACTGGTGCGGCGTGTGGTCTGGACCCTGGGATTTTGAAAAATCTCCCAGGTGATTCTAATGTGCAGCAAAGTTTGCGAACTCCTGCTTTGGAACAATGCAAAGTTTTAAATTCTAAATTCTCATCCTTCTGTTAGTAAAAAATGGTAATATTTTTACTAACAGAAGTACTATATGTTTACTTTAGAAACTACAGACAAACCAAAAAAAAAAATTACAATTAAAATTATCTATAATCTCTCCACTCAACGATAACCAGCGTGGTATTGGCTGTGTGTCTTTTTCTCCTGTGCGTGTTTATGTATTTAAAGTCTTAACTATAATATTACTCTTCTATAGAATTTTATGTATTTGACACCAGTTTGTCTTGTATCTGTCTTATGTATTTACGTGCTTTACCAGACTGAGAAGGTCTTGATTCTTATACACACCTGGTGGTGTTGCTGGATTAACCCTTCTAGGCCAGTAACTCTCAAAGTGGAGCGGTGTCTGTATTAGTGGAGAGTTTTTATGTTATTTGAGGTTGCATTTAGGATCTAACTGATTTGGGTGTCTCTCCTTTGTACTCTGACTTGTGCAGCACTTTTTCAGACAAGCAAACCTTGGTTTCCTTTGTCTCCCTTCTAGACCAATAAGGCAAAGCCCGTATGGCTTGTATCCCTGGGCTCTGGCATGCGGTCCACGCTCAGTAAATGCTGGGGTGGATGAACAGGCAGGTGTGTTCCGAGATCTGAGGTGGGAGTGGTGGTTATAGTTTGAAAAAACTAATTATGGAAGTAAGTTGAGGTGAGAAAAATTATTTGGGAATGTTGGGCAAGTGGGAAGAGAAGATAAGAGTGGGGTTGAGATGAGGACAGGGGCTGGGGACTAGGGGACACTTTAGGGTAGATAAGCTGCAGATCCTTCAAGAAATGTAAAAAGCCCTCTAGTTCCAGAACCGTCTTGGCCTTGGCCCCCAACAGGCTCATACAGTCTTCCCGGGAATAGCATTCCCCACCCGTCTCCTCTCTCTTCCGTCTCCCCATCCTACTCACTTGTCATAATAAAAAGGCTGAGTCAGATATACTTTCAGAGTAAGAACCAAATAGTTGTTGAAATTTGCTGCTCCCCAAATATTCTTCTGATAAAGATTTGGGTAAGAAACCACTGTAGAGTGGTGGGGTTCAGTTAGGGTACAACCAGAGCCTGTCAGTTAACACCTGTCATTTGCTTTCCTACAAAGTTTCAGCCTGAGGAAGAATTTAAATAAAAGTTGGAGAGGGGATTCAGAGAACTGAAGCCCTGATGAGGGATTACCCTAGAGGAGAGTAATTTGGGAGACATGACAGATTTGCTGGGCTAGCCAGCCTTCTCTTCAGTTAGGCCCACACAACTCTGGGCTGCTCACTGAGGTATTTTTGGTACTGTAGCCGTAAAGCTAGACATCTCTGCATGGCATGATTTATGAAGGATTTTCTTTTTCATACTAACTTCTTATAATGTAACTTTATCATCAGTAGATTTCTTAATCACCCTTCATCACAGGGCCGGTAAATCAAAATTATTTATTATTTCTCTTTGGTTCTTAAAAACTTAACTTTTATTTTAAGAATGTGATATGATCTTTACTTGCTTATGATTATCCATTTTAAACAAATGTTCATTAAAATTGCAAATGTGTGCATTTTACTTCATCAGCATATAAGGTGCATACATTATTTATATTGTTGAAATCCTTTAGAACTGAGGCATTTATGTAGTTCCAAAAACTACAAGAAAAATGAGAAGCTGTTTCTTTATCTTTCTTTCTCCTATTTTTGTTGAATTCACGATGACTTTTTAAAAATATAGTGGCATTAAAGATAGTTAAAACCATCAGACATCCTGCTTTACTTAGAATAAAGCAAAAAACAAAATTAATAAAATAGCAAGCCTGATTTGCTTATCTGAATAATGCTCATCTCACTATAAGATCATAATGAAAGAGAGGGAATCCTTAGAGTTACGTCGCATAGTATAGCAAAAAAATAGATAAGAGAAGTACTAGAGACTATATTTATTTCAATAAATATCAGATTTATTCAGTGCAGTGAAACTGAGATTTCTGAAGTGCTGTGCCAGCCGTTGGAGCCAGGAGTGTATTATGATTTAATGGTGTCTCTCTGCTGCATTTGATGAGCTGTCCTAGGAAAACATTTTGAAGCAATAAAGCATCCATTTGGCTCCTAAGTAACGAGGGAGGCATTGCTCTTTGCATTAACTATTTATTCAGGAAGAAAAGTGACCAACTGCTAATAAGCTTTATCCAAAGAGAGTAGTGGAAAACAGAAGAAAATGCAAAAGTGAGGTTCTGTTCAATTTCATAGGCAATTAACAAATCCCCAAAGCTGAGTGGTTGGTGCTCCTCCTCCACGTGACTTCTGGCCAGCTGTATTTAAGCGCGAGTGCCTGTCAGATGTATTAAAGGCCTCTTGGGTTAAGGAAGGAGCGTGTAGCCTAAACTAATGACAGATGAGAGGAGGCAGTGACTGGTGAGTAGCTAAGATTGAGCTCTATAGTTTTGAACAATGGACTTATTTTCCAAGGTGAAAAGTAGTGATAGAGCCTTGCTAGTTTACTCCTTTTGGGAAGGGTGTCTTTTTTTTTTTTAAATGATTATTGCTTTTTCATGACTTGAAAAATCTCTATAATGCAATATGTAGATTATCACTTGATCAAATCGCTTTTAACCTGAGGAAATGTCTTATTTGCTTTCTAAATAAATATGTAATTTATTATTTAGAAATAGTTTCTAGGTTGGCATGTTGCATTTTGCTCAGAATCTTCACACATAAACAGGGGCTTCTTTCAAGTCATTTCAGAATCTCACTTTGAAGCACTTTTGGTGCTGTAACGGCATGAAATTTTTATTCCCCTTGCTTTAAGAGTCTTAATATAGCTAATTTGCATTCTTTAGTGTTATGAAAAAGGTGAAAGTCACAATTATTTTCTTCCCTTAAAGCCGACTAAAGGACCCCCCTTATGCTAATGCTCCTTCCTTGCTCTCACTAAAAAGTAGTACAGTGGAGTTCTACACAATGAGGAAAAAATCCTTCATATAAATCATATTAAGATAGGCAATGGAAATGATATATAATCCCAACATTATTTGATAACAGAATATTCTTCATACCATCGTAAACCAATTATGAAATCATGTAATATTTCATTCTTTTGATTTTCAATTTAAAACAAGTCTATGTTGAAAACTACGTATTAATTCTAACCTTACTGTGAATTATTTTAAAGTAAATTTGAAATCAGCTTTCAAGATATATTCCTTGAAATAAGAACACGTTGTTTATTGGGTTCATGGCCTTTGGTAAAGGACTAAAAGGCCTGAAAAATGAGTAGCAATGAGATCAAAGACAAGAAAAGGCTCTTTAGAATTTTTCTTTCCTAGACCACGTTGCATCATACTCGGAGAACTAAAGTCATTTATTTTACAGAGAATCTTACTTTCTTCATGAGGGAAATAAGGACTCAGAGATTGCAAATGGAATTACCTTGTAAAATGCTAGGTTTTGCAGTAATCTCTCTTGTTATTAACGATCATTAGATTGAATTATCCCTTTCAGATAATCACTCCCTTCAGAAGACTAATGCTGTGTGCCGAGAACAGAAAGGAGATGGAGGATTGGATCAGCTCACTGAAGTCTGTACAGACCAGAGAACCTTACGAGGTGAAGTGGCATCTCTTCTGTTGTCTCATGTTCTTAACCGGAGAGCTGAAGCTGTATTCTGCAAAAAAAAATATGTGTGTGTGGATTCATTGAGCAGCTTAAGTCTGATGTTAAAATTTTTTTTACTTAAAGCAAAGTGTTTTAGTTTTAAAAATTTTGGATTTGAAATTTTAATCCCAACTATGTATGTTTCGAATAGTTACCATCTGTAGTCTTGATCTCTTGTTTGGAAAATCTGTGCTAACGTCTCATTTCTAGGTGGCCCAGTTTAATGTGGAACATTTCTCAGGGATGCATAACTGGTACGCCTGCTCCCATGCCCGACCTACTTTCTGTAACGTGTGCCGAGAGAGTCTCTCCGGAGTCACCTCCCATGGCCTGTCCTGCGAAGGTACTGTAGCATCCAGCATGTGTTCTCCCTCAGCGCGGACTGTACCGTAAACTCTGCCAGTGGTGCTTCTGTGACTTGAACAGAGAAACCTCATCACAGGAAAACCTTTTCCTTGGATGGAAGCAGTTCCTAGGAGCATCTCCGCAGGAACATAGTGTTTAAATTTTATTGTAGTTTCAAGTGGAGCTCTGCACACGTAGGACTAACTTAGGAAGTATTTTTACTGAGGGCAAGATAATATAAAATCACTTGAAAGGATGTATAAATCAAAATGTAACATTTCACTCCTGAGGAACCAGCAACCACTGTTTAAAAAAAGTCTTTAGACTTTGTATGTTGTTCTAGTTTTCTAGTGTTCTTTTTCAGTTCAGATTGATCATGGAGAAGAAAACTTTCTGTGAGGAGAGTATATCCTCTTTGGCAGAATTTCTGATTGTTACTTGTATTTCATTGTTTTGAATGTTTTAAAAATTTCATTTATGTTTAATTTAAATGGATGCCACCCTTTTAATTTCTTTGAAGTTTTCTAAAAATAAGGCCTATGCTGTTGTTTTCATTATAGGATTTTTAGGTTGTTTTTTAATTTAAGAGCCGTGACCACTAAAAACAAATACACTACTAATTGCCAAGAGAAAACTCATAACTTCTTTAGATTTATTTAATTTCATACGTCAGTGATCACACGATTGTGTACTACTTTTTGAGCTACGAATAATACTAGCTTTTCTAATACAAAAAATTCTTATGTAAATTTGAATGTCACTTTATTATAATAAAATGAAATAGGAATAGGGTCACAGTTTTAATTCATTTTAAAGTATACAATCTGAGGCATTTCAGCTATTTAATATGATGTGGCGTGGCAATTAAGACCAGAGCTCTGCATCAGCTGAAGAGTGGTATGGAGGGTGCTGTGGTGAAGGTGGAGAATGATTAATTTGGGAGTAGTCCACAAATGGTTTGTGGATGAGAGAAAGCTCAGGCAAGATGGCCAAGTTGGCTGCAAATGCATTCATTAGAGTAGCTGAATGGAATTGAAACATAAATAACTGTGATTTGTACAAATAACAGCTGTCTATCACTAATATCAACTATTTAATTCTACTTTTCAGACTACGTTAGCAAAAAAAATAAAAGCTTATCTAAAAACAGGGGCATCCCACTTTAAGATGGCTTAATAAAAATATGGCTTATCAAAGGAAAAAAAAAAAAAAAAAAAGACCAGAGCTCTGCAGCTCAGCCCTCTCAGTGGCAGTCCCACTGCCAGCCTTGCAGTCTATGACCAGAAGTAGTTTAACTTTTTTAAACTTTTGGTTCCTCATCTGTAAAATGGGGATAATAGTCATTTATACCTCATGGAACACAATGAAAATTAAATGAGAGAATATGTATACTAAAACTGCTTTTCTAGTCAAATAAATTGTAGAGGTTTGTAACTGCGCCATGGCCCAATGAATGAAAATGAACATGGAGGAGACATTAAAAATTTTTTTAGACTTAAGGAATGATTACAAACAGAGATATAATTGGCCTTTATGACTTTAGTAATCTGAAAGGGTTCCTGTGGCTCTGAGTTACTCCGACCAGATCTGTAATATCATGGGGTACTGTTTTGAAGGGGTTTTTATTATTCCCTTCTAGTCTTCATCCAAAAAATACTAAAAAAGATATCAGATCTGAGATACTCTGTGGTGCCCTTCTGATTTGAGAGTTATGCATTATTAAATATCTTTAATTGCTTAGGAATTGAGGTTAATAGTAGGATGACTATATATTTTTCTAAGAATTTTAAAAGAAAAATGAAAATTACATTAGCTGGTGAGAATAAGAAACTTAAAAGTCTTTAAATAAATTTGTTATATTATTCTGTTAATAATGAAGTCTTTCTGACTTTTTTTAGGTCTCAATTATTGTATTTTGAAATTATATTTTTAGAGGAATATGTGTTAGTATTCATTTTCTCTGCTGATAAAAATTTTGTCTGCAGCATTGTGCCCATTAGTAATTTTAGAACCGTAGCAGGAGGTTTTAAAAATCCATGGGTTTTATGAATATATAAAAAAGTTACCTTTTTATTTTTATGAGAATGTACTTATTTAAGATATTTTTATCGTAACCAAAGTTGTACTTAAACTTTAGAAATACCCCCAAAATCTGAATAAACTGATTGCTTCATAAAACTAAAGACATAGGATATAAGAGGCTTTAAAAGTTATAATAGAGATGCAAATACAAGGAAAATTCATTCAACAGTGACCGTGAATAACTTTGTATTGGAATGGAATCTAGCTTCTGGGGTGTGAAGCTATCACTAAATTTACTTAATCTTTCTGTCCTTGTTTTTCATAATAAAACAAGGCTGTACTGATTTGTCTTCTAAGTTTGTGTTCAATAGTAACTAAAATTATTATTTTAAAGTCCTTGAGAATATAAAATATGACTGAAAAATAGAAGACAGAAAATACTTTTTTTTCTTTCTGCTTTTTACCCCCAAACTCCCCCCCCCCCCCAGTAGATAGTTGTCTATTTTAGTTGTGGGTCCTTCTAGTTGTGGAGAAAATACTTTTAATAAATAATCCCATAAATCAATTGAAAATGCTAATTATAATTTCAGAGCATAATTGTTCTTCACAGTTATTTAAACAGTAATTTAACAAAAAAGGTTAAATGGTGATTTTTTTTTTTTTACATCAACAGCATCAACTATGTCAACATCTACTTATTAATTTTTATCTTAACCACTGTTGAACTCTTATAAAGATTAACTGTGGTAAAGACTGAATATTGGAATAAAAAATTATAATTTTGTTACATGTCAGTATATTTTCTAAGTTCTGTGGTTTTAAAATAATGGCTTTATAGGTCAGGGAAAAGTGCTTTATTTCAGGATTACTTGTTTGGAGAAATTTAATTGTCATCTAACAAAATTAAGTTGCCTGTTAATCATTTCCATTCCTTACTGACCATAATTACAGTCTAGTTTGTTTTATTATTATTATATGTTATATTAAGCAACTTTGTAATTCTCAAGGCTCATTGCATGAAGCACTTTATTATTACAAAAGTATGATTTTTATTTTTAATCAGCTATTTGATTTAATGGCAGAATTTTCAAAGGGCTATGATGGGCTGGCCCTGTGGTGTAGTGGTTAAGTTTGCGTGCTCTGCTTCGGTGGCCCGGGATTCACAGGTTCAGATCCCAGGCGCGGACCTAGCACTACTCTTCAAGCCATGCTGTGGCAGCATCCCACATAAAATAGAGGAAGATTGGCACGGATGTTAGCTCAGTGACCATCTTCCTCAGGCAAAAAGAGGAAAATTGGCAACATGTTAGCTCAGGGCCAGTCTTCCTCACACACAACCACAAACAAAGCCATAAAATTATACCCTGTTGTCTTATTTATAGTTCCTTCTTTGCCTCTTAGAAAACAGTCATTGACTGTTAATATCAAGTAATTATTTGTACTTAAAAAGCAGCCTGGGAATTCTGTTGCAGATAAAACTAAAACTAGAATCATACTTTTGAGAAATCCCAAGATAGATGAAAAGGCCTAGAGAAGCTAACCAGCCACAGTTATAAAATTGGACCAAAGGGGAGCAGATCATGGTAAAGTTGTTTTTCAAACTAAGCTTACTTCCTCTAGTGCTATTTCCTTACGCTATTGTTTATCAGCAATAAAATTCAATTGAAAAAATGTTTTCCATATGAAGTCTGTGCTCAAGTCAAAAAGTTATTTATAACAAAAATAATATGGTTTCCAGGAAAGAATTTGTCAGTGTACACAAAAGAACAAGTAAATGAAACATTCCAATGTCTATAGACTAATAGTTTTCAAGGACAAACCAACTGAGTTTAAGTGGCCATTTATATTTCGGCTGTTCATGATGTGTGAAGCATTCTGCACATTTGGCTATAAAATTCTTCCGTATTTTAGCTGACCCTTTCGTTTTCATGTTACATTAAATTAGGACAATTTAAGAGAATGGTGTGTAGCCCATTGTTTCAAATTTGTTAATGGTTTACTGGTAGAAATTCAAAAATCGTGAAAAGGGGCCACCTCACATTTAGAATTTAGCAACAGCTACCTTACTATGTTTTCACTGAAATGATCTCTACCTTTAAATATTTATCTGAAAAGTCAGAAGCTGTTATAACGTCAGTATCCACGAATGCTTGAATCTTTTGTGTCCTTAGAAGGATAAATAAGTTTAGTGGTAGTCAAGTTCCGATTTTCATGAGCAAGGGTTAATTTTTCAAATAATCTGTGGCGTATTTGTTTTTTCATGTATGTGTTGCTTCTCTCTTGGTTGTTTCCTCTTATTTCTCTTTTGTAGGCTCCTTTATGAAAATATGGCAGCAGAGAATTAGTGATACGTGTAGTGGGAACATCATTTGTCATTCCTTTCGTCTACATTATAGCCATCCCTACATAATACTTTTAAATGACAATGCCATCTTTATGCCCTTCGTCAACCTGTTTCCTGTCATCTCTGGATATTTTCTTGATATGCTTGCTCTTTAAAGCTCCTCTGAATTATCCTGTTCTTTATCCTACTGATATTTTCAAACTTTTAATTTTAAATATATTATACATATAGAAAAATGAAAACATCAGAAGTATACAGCTCACTGGATTTTCACAAATTAAATACACTTATGTAATCAGACCCAGATTAAGAAAATGGATGTTACCAGCACCTCTGTGTCACTGAATTTTATTTTCTTCTGTGTTTGTGTGTGTGTGTGTGTTGTCTCTCTTCTCCTGAAGATCTAATTCTTTTGTGTTCATTTCCTTTCTGTTCTTCTTTTATGAGTAAGTGGAATCTCTTTAAGTAGCCATCTTTAGCATGATAAAAGTGCTTCATAAATACATAGCTGTATTTGCTTTTTATGATACCATTACTATTATTGAAGAATAATTTAAACTTTTTAAAATATTGTTTTTTTCTACCCCTTACCCCTTTTAAACTTCATGCTGTGATTTCTTTTCATCATTGGTCCAAAAGTACATATTCATTTAGAAATGATTGACTTTTTTTCAGTGTGTAAATTCAAGGCTCACAAAAGATGTGCAGTGAGAGCAACAAACAACTGCAAATGGACGACACTGGCCTCCATCGGGAAGGACATCATAGAGGACGAAGATGGAGTAAGCTCTCTTCCGTCTCTGACCTCCTCCCAGTATCTCTTCTCTTTTATTTTACGTTCTTGTGGAAAATTAGGAGAGTTAAGAGGGAATGTTTATTATTAGGACTAAATGGAAGATTTTGATTGATTATGAGTTTTATTTTCAATTCAATCCTTCATCTCTTCCTTCAGCCCTTAAATTGGGAGGGAAATGTGTGACTAGGGCTTAGGCATAGTGAGTAGTGGTTGTGCTGGGCTGGTGCTATAGTTGGTTATCTGACAAACTGAGATGGTCTTGAAGGCTCAGCTCAGCTCTTGACTCAGATGTTTACTCCTCAAACCTTGGGCTCTCCTCTCGACAGTGCCCCTCCCTTCAAAACCTTGCTTCTTCCCACCTGGCATAGGAATCTCTGATAGCACTTTGTAATCACTTTACGATAATCCCTTTATTTGCCTTTCTCCTCAGCTAGACTACAAATCCTGATGGGCGGGGACTTAGTCTTATTTATCCTTGTATCTTTACAGTGCTCGGGGCATAATGGATGCTCCATAAATGTGGGCTAAATGAATGGATGCCACGATCAATACATGTTATTGATTGCATAGAGTAAGAAATAATGATCTATCTTCCCTAGGGGAAGGATGAGGTCCTCCACAGTTTAATTTGACTGCCCTTTCTTTCTGCTCCACAGGTGGCTATGCCGCACCAGTGGCTTGAGGGTAACTTGCCCGTGAGCGCCAAATGTGCTGTCTGTGACAAAACGTGCGGGAGCGTTCTCCGTCTTCAAGATTGGAAATGCCTTTGGTGTAAAACGATGGTGAGAATTTTATAATTATTTTCCTTTTTAATTAGCTTCATTTTGTAACTTTTTCATCTATGTATTTTAGAGGCAAAGGAAAGAATTTATGGCATAGCAGAGCCTGGTAGCACAACCACCCATTGTAACTTTCATCTCTTTTCAAGGTGTATTCCTTTCAGTCTGGTTACATTTTCAAATGCCCTTTTTGTAATACTTGCCTTTGTTATGTATTTCCTTTGTCTGATGACCTCTTTTTATTATTTTTCATTATACTTTGGCCACGCTCAGTGGTTTGCTATTTTTAGGCCTCTTTTACCACCTGTTGCCTACAGAAAGCCACCAAATTTTGATTGACGTGCAAAGTGTAATTTGACTGCAACCCTGTGTGTGTTCTCTGACAGACAGAATGCTAAGTTCAGTGGACCATGCACTGATGTAATTTAAATTATATATGTTTATGTTATATAAATAAATATTTTAAAACTTCCTTGCATGTGCAAGAAAGCAGTGAGAAGTGCGCACAGTGTAACGTGGAGCCCACAGCAGGGAATGGTCCTGTCTGTGCCAGATTGCATGAGGACTGGGCCTCCAGACTGCATGAGGGCAGTCCGAGCAGGAACTCAGAGGCTGAACTAACGCCACTCAGAGGCTGGTGAGGAGCTAAAAGTTCAGGGGGTAAGGAGGCAATAGTGAGTGATCATCTGAGCCCTGGGCCATGCTGTCCGACTGCAATGGTGGCTGCCTTGCACTGGGGCTGATTTGCTTGGTCTTGTTTTGGGTCTTGGAAGTGAGCCCCTCAACCCCCAGGAAGGTGGACACATCATTGCTTTTAATATGTATGGTGTAGATCAGAAAATATAAGAGAGGTGAGTATGATGTGTCGATTTCATAATCAATGAGACTGATTCCATCAGCCACAGAGGAAAATAAGTCCTCCAGCTTTTTAGTCAGGTCGTCTGTGTTTCCTTTTCAGTTTTAAGTCAAACGTGGTTTTCTTTGCCCTCATGCTTTTGTTACTCTTCATCAGTTGCCTCTTTTGTTAGCCATAAGTGTTACTTTTTATTTCTCTTATGTCATTTAATATAATGTATAGACTATACTAAATATCTCTCTTTAGTGTTTTGGTGCAACCCCAACCCCTAAGACCCTCTTAGCCATTCCTTATTTTAAAGGAGTACTCCTGAAAGACTGTAAGATGAAATTTAAAAAAATACATAAAAAGAGTGTTCCTGTAAACAAAATTTTAAATCTTCATCCCATCTAAGATTTCTTTTTGGGGGGACAGTCACTGATGTATGCACTGACTGCTATTTTTATTAATCTGTACATTTACCAAAGTCTGTTTCTCTACTTCTAGAACTTCGGTTGTTCTTTTCCAACTTTTTAAAAAGAAAGCAGATCCCGTGTGTGATGAATTATTTTAGTAAGGTTTTCTATAAGCTGCGTTTACCTACAATATATAGGTCTCTACTTGTATTTAGTCACTGGTTTTTAAAGTTTATCAACTTTAACAGTAGGTGTTAATTAGGTTTTTTACTTGCTCGCTCTGCTCACCCCCCTCCCCCTTAAAAAATTCCGCAAATAGAAGTATTATTACAGATTGTAGAAGGGGGCATTCTGGGATGTCTTTTCCCTCTCTTTGCCTGACAAACTTAAGTATCGCCTTGATTATGAAATCATTCCTGCCCTTCCCTGTGTCAGTTGGCCGTGTGGGTTTCTGGACCGCCATCACCTTGTTACATCTCTCTCAGTCTTGTGCTTCGTATGCACTGTCATTTATCTGGTCACATATTATTTTGCCTTTAAAACGTGAGTCTTGAACAGCAGAATATCTAATATCTAAACATAGTTATCTAGTTAAAAACAAAACAAGACAAAACCATAGTTCCACCCTCCTAATGAATCAACTCCTAATTTTTCCAGCTGTTTTCCAGTCTCTGGACATACTTTTGCCTTTTCTGTAAAAATAGTGAAGATACAGTTTTCTTTTCTGCTTTTCTCCTTAACATTCTTATAAATACTTTTCCATTTTGCTCTATGATTCTCCTACATTTTTAAATTCCTTTTAAAACTGTGTGTGCTTGTTTTTCTAAAATCCATTTGGATTGTTAATTATTGTAAATCATAATAAGAAACTGTCCAGTACTAGGTCATCAGCAGAACAAGAAGCACTATTAAATTTCAGTTATTTTCTCAAAAGTATTTTTAAATATGTGTTTAATATCCAATTTTCTAAAAGGACTAATGAAATAACGCCAGATTAAATAAGTGCTTTATGAAGCATCTGCTTTTACTGCTTAAAACTTTTAAAGGCTCTCTAGGTAAGTCCATAAAGTATTCTAAATTGTCTGATCCTACTTAATAAGTTAGCCCTGCTTTTGTTCTCAATAGTATCTTGAGTGAGCTTGAAACTTGTTGTTTCCACAGAGTTAACACATTTACTGAGTGTCTGTGATGTATATCACTTTCCAAGATGAGTATGCAATGCTGGGACCTGTTTCTTTTCCTTACAGAGGCAGAAGTCTAGCTGAGAAAATAGGCATGGATGTACTCTAACCATACCAACATGAAAATGTTATAAACAAGGTGTGAATAGAAAGTTATAGGGTCACTGCAGACAGAGCAGACACATTACAGATTTTGTTTATTTTCATTAAATTCTATAAGAATTTTATAAGGTAGACATCATCAGTTTTTTTCACGGACAATGATATTCACGCATACTGGTTAGCTTCCCTCCCTGTCTCCCTCTCTCCCCCTTTCTCCCTCTCTCCCCCTTTCCCCTCTCTCTCCGTTTCTCCTGCCCTTCCTCCCTCTTGCCCTCCTTTGCCCTGCACTTCTTTCTCGTCTCTTCCTCTCTCTCGCCTTCACCAGACATTTACTGACTCTATACTACTTGCCTGACACCGTCATGAAAATAGGCTGCACAGACCAAACCAAATCCCCATCTCTAAAATGATTAGCCCATTCCTTAGAAGTATAAATATTGTGTTGTTAAAATAATTTATGAATTACTGAAAATTTTGTGATGCAGTTGATCTTCAATTATGAGTACCTTAGATTTAATTTGTAACATAACAAAGCATTGGTTTGTCTTTATGATTCTTGAAAGTTTTTTTGTTTGTTGTTAGGTACACACTGCCTGCAAAGATTTATACCACCCTATATGTCCACTTGGCCAATGTAAAGTGTCTGTCATACCTCCAATTGCACTAAACAGCACTGATTCTGATGGTACGTAGCAGTAGTGTAAGTATGTATATTCCTGGCATATTGAATGTTGATAGATACGTTTATTTTCCTAGGATAAATAGAATTGTAGCTGGTTATTCTTGTCAGTTTTTATATAATAATTCCATTTAAATTGCTGAATAGTACATTTAATTTTTAAAAGAACATTTTAAAATTAAAGTTTAACATAGCTATTAACACATTGGTGAAATTTCTGTGTATAAGACTTTTAGATTTTACATTTCAGCAAATAAGATCATTATTCTGTACCAAAATGCAATTCGAGAGGTTAACTTTTTTACAAGTGTTTTCTTTTCCTCCATAATTGAAACTGCCCTTTTGCATAGCTCTTATTTAGAAATGTTTTCCTGTAATTTCATTGCAGTAATGTATATTACTATAAATTCATTCACTTTTTCCAGAATCTTACGACTTAGTTGTAAGTGCTGAGAACCTATTTGCAACACTGGTTTTGGAATAGCATATTAATAACTTCCTTCTAAGCAAACCATATCACAAAAGGCTTTTACCGTATGCTATTAAAGTTTTGCGTTGATAAAGTGTCTTATGCTTGTCACACTTTTTATATAAATTATGCCAATAGATATCATAGATGTTAGGACACAAGCCTCAAAAGATGTGATTTTTTTTTAAAGATTTTATTTTTTGTTTTTCTCCCCAAAGCCCCCCAGTACATAGCTGTGTATTTCTAGTTGTGGGTCCTTCTAGTTGTGGCATGTGGGATGCCGCCTCAGCATGGCTTGACGAGTGGTGCCACGTCTGTGCCCAGGATCCGAACCGGTGAAACCCTGGGCTACCGAAGCGGAGCGCACCAACTTAGCCACTCGGCCACGGGGCCGGCCCCCGAAATGTGAATTTTTTAACCTATGCTATTAAAAGCCTCCCCTCCACAAGCCCTGATATACCAGGGTTCTGTTGTTCATTATACCTTGTAAAATATTTTCCCAGGCCTCATCAAGAATCAGTTAAAATATTTTATAACACTCAACATGAACATACGAATCCTTTTCCAATTGAGAATTTATGGACCGTGATTGGTTTTTCTTATAATTAAGGGTTGTTAAGGCAGGTGGTAGATCTCAAATTATCTATGATTAATACTGTTACCCTCTTTGGTATGATTTTTCCTTATAGAGCATAATTAGAAAGATAAGTTCTATATTCTTAGTATGTAAATAATAAGCCTAGCTCCATTTTGGGAGCTAAATTATAACTTACTGTTAAAGTAATGAACAAGGTTCTTTGTTTATGAATGTATCTTCCTTTCTCTGAAATGTTAACAGTTCAGGAGAGAGAGTTGTATGTATTGATCTTGTTCTGTGTTTTTTTACAGGTTTCTGTAGAGCAACATTTTCATTCTGTGTTAGTCCTCTATTGGTTTTTGTCAATTCTAAGAGTGGAGATAATCAGGGAGTAAAGTTCCTTCGACGATTTAAACAGTTGCTAAATCCGGCTCAGGTGTTTGATTTAATGAATGGAGGGCCTCATTTAGGGTAATTGATTATTGATAAATCTCGTTTGAATGAAATATAGCACTGAGCATGAAATATGTTTGGCTTTTCAGTTCATGAAAATTGTATATTCATCTAGACATCTCTGTGTTGATCTTCCTTCTCCTCCCTTTTTTAAAGCTCTAGTTATAAATTTTAACACAACCTTTTTGATACTTATATAACTTCTTGTTGTGCTAAAAAATCCAAAATTTGCTTAGAAAGTGTTGTAGAATATATCCTACATCAAATAATACCAATAATTTGCTTAGCTCTAAGAAAGGTCAGCTTGTGTAAATATAGAACCACAAAATAACTTTAGAAGATGATTTGCATGGAAGACTAGTATTAATTTTTATGTAATACACATAATCAATTATTTAACCAAAGCACAGATACTGTCATGGATCTCAAGGACGGTTCCTCGAGGATTTCAGACTCAGTTCACATAAATGACAAACAACATTTTTGTCGATTGTTTGTTGCAGCTTTCTGGAATGTCATATAACTTAAAATCGAAAAATATTAAGTATATCTTTAATGAGGGAAACGCCTTGCGGCACTTTCAATCCATCTTTAGTGTATGCATGTGATTTTTGTTGGAGAGGCGACACTGTGTCATCTGACCCAGGGGCCTGCAGTCTCTGGGTGATCTGCTTCTGCCAACTCAGCTTTTCTGCTGGGTTCCGCTGTCCCCTAAAAGCATGAACTCAAAGTAGAAATGGGGATTTTAGATACCAGGGCCTGGAGAGGCCTTTTGTGTTTTATAATTTAACTTTCCTCTCTTCTCTGTTTCTCTCCTCAGTCTCTCTTTGTGCCTCTTTTTGCTTTTGTCCCTTCAGGATCTTCCTTCTTGTTTCCATTGCCTTTTTCTTGCGAAGTCTCATGCCCTTCTGGTCAGATGGGTGTTGGTCTTCTTCGTTTGTAGCGAACTCCTTCCTTCTCACTTGCACATCCCCTGCTTACCCTTGTTTGGGTCCTAGCATTTCTTTCTAACCTATCTTCTCATCTTTGACTCTTCCATTCTGGTTAACTTTGTATCCCTTTCTAGCACATCCTTTTAATACTTCTTCATAGTTCCAATATCTTATATTTTTAACATTTATTTTTCCCACCCATCCTCTGAGATTCACAAAAGATCTCCCTTGTGAAACTTCTTGAGATTGTCTCTATGACATATTTTTTAGATATTCCACAATACTTAAGGTGTACAAAGGTACATTCAGGGGGCGGATGTGTCAAAAGTTGAGAGGAAGGAAGATAGAAGTATAAACATTGACCTGAGAACAGGAGGAGGAAAAACAACTGGGAGTACTAGAAGTGATACATTGGCAAGGTTTGGTGGGTCTCTTTAGGAACTGCCTCATGTGACACTCAGTAGCATCAGTGTCCTAGATTCTCCCAGTTTGCAACATGCTATTCTCAAGGAAATAACATGTCCTTGTAATGGAAAGAGAAAAATCACTGCTTTTACCATTTCATATCACTTACCTTTCATTCTCTTTCCTGGTTCTACTTCTTTTTTGTTTTCTCATTTCTCACTTCTCTTTCCTCCTGATTTTGTCTCCATTTCTACTTATAATCCCCTTTCTTCTTTATGGTTAAGAAGTTTACTTGAGTTAAAAATTGCAATCAAATTAGTTTTTATAGTATAATTAATATGTAAGAGTTCTTATATTTAATCTGAATGTGAATACCAATAAATACAGAATAACAAAGAATCGGGGAAAGTGATTTTTATTTATTTATATTAATATAAAATACTTTTTACTTTCAGTTTAAGATTATTCCAGAAGTTTGACAATTTCCGGATTCTTGTCTGTGGAGGAGATGGAAGTGTAGGTTGGGTTTTGTCAGAAATTGATAAGCTCAACTTGAATAAACAGGCAAGTAGTAATTCTTTTCATTGCTAGTTAACATGGATGTATGCTAACCTGCTGACCAGAGAAGGGCAGAAATGTAACAGTCTCTATTTCTCAGCTTGTCTGAGGTCTCCCTCTTGTGCTCTCTTTCAGTGCCAGCTGGGAGTATTGCCTCTGGGTACAGGAAACGACCTTGCCCGGGTTCTTGGCTGGGGAGGTTCATACGATGATGACACTCAACTTCCTCAGATATTAGAGAAGCTGGAAAGAGCCAGTACCAAAATGTTGGACAGGTAAAAGTGAATTCTCGTCTAAAACTGGATTGAAAATGGTGTACCCAACTCCTTTTTTGACCGTTTAAATTCTACTGAGTATAAGCTCCACGAGGTCAGAGGCTTCCTAGCCCTGTTGACTCTTTCACCCCTGAGGTCTAGAGCAGAGCCTGGCATAGAGTAGACAATAAATATATATTTTTTGAGTGAATGAATGAACTGTAACAAAACCTGAGAAAACTAATCTAATGAACCCATTATTTTTAAAGATAGAAGGCTATGTTGATACCAATAACTTGTAATTGTTGTCCTGGTCAGAAAGCTTAAAGAGTTAATTTGGGGGGCGAGGGGTCTATGTATGAGTATAATAGGTATGGCCCCATCTGTGGTTTTGTTAAAGCTAAGAAAGACATATAAGCTTTAGATTTGTTAGACTGTCTCTTCTTAATCATAGATATTAAGAAAGAATTTGAACCAACAAAGAACTAAATACTAAGAAAGATAATCCTCTCCCAAGGACAGAGAAGTACAGTCATGCATTGCTTAACGATGGGGATAAATTCTGAGAAATGTAATATTAGGTGATTTCTTCACTGTGCAAACATCACAGAATGCACTTACACAAACCTAGATGGTATAGCCTACTACACACCTAGGCTGTGTGGTACTAATCTTACCAACCCCTGTCATCTGTGCTGTTTGTCATTGCCCAAAATGTTTTATGTGGTGCATGACTGTGTTAGGAAGACAGCTTCATATGAAGGAACTGTCGCTGTGTTTATGATATCCTTGATCACATCTCTTAACTGCTTTCTCTTTGAGTGCCCCACATATAAAAAAGAAATCACAATGTGTGCATCCTGAGTATTATGGAGGAGGTGTTCAGAATTTAGGTATAGGGAACAATAGGATTCAGTAAGCAGTAAGAGCCCCCTTGCCCTATAAGTCAAAGACAAATGTCAAAATATCATTATAAACTGGAGCTAGCATGAATCAAAACAACTTTGATAGGATTAGCCATCTGTGGAACTCTTCCCGAAAATAACAAAATCTCATCAGGGAGCCACCAATCTAAAATGTAATTACTCGAAGATGAGCTATAACCTAATTAATTATAAACTTGCCTGTCATAAGGTAATGTTGTAATGGTTGATTCTTTTGCTGAGAGAATATTTTAAAAGAGAGCTGGGCTGTACAGCATTTGTCTTTGTTTATTCAAAACTATTCATGAGAGGGATGCATACCCCAGTAGTTTGGATACGTGAAGTGGATTCCGTCTTCAGTCTTCCAAGGAGCGTGTAGGTGATTTCCCAGACAGGTGCCCAATTCTGTGCTTACTAAACCATGTGGGATATTTTAAATGGCTTTTTGTTGCAAATTTAAATACCACTGTGTCTTTGCATCCTAGGAAATCTGCTAGACATTTCCTCTGTCTTGGGTGAGCACTTTTTCCCTTTGTGTTGTAAAAATTGATTTCTCCAGGTGGTTAGCAGAGGAACAGTGCCCCCATGGTGAAATTCCTTGATACAGACCTGCAAAAAACACAAGAAGAAAAAAACATCAAGGAGGCTTAAAAAAACTAGAACCATTATTAGAAATATAAGAATATCTTGTTCCTTTTTTTTTTTTTTTTTTTTTTTACTAATTTAAGAATACCATTTGTAAAGAACGGGTGAAAAAAATTGCTGTTTAATGTTACTCCAAATTACATAAGCTTTTTTCACATATATCAGTTGATTTGACTCTCAAAACGACACTTTGGGGTGGCTAAGAAAAGCATTATTATGAGTGTTTTGCAAAGATGAAAATTGAGGCTTGTGGAGACAAAGAAAGTAAGAATGACTATTTTTTGTCTGCCTGTCATTTCTAGTTGCTTTACTTAATAAAGTGTCATCTTATTTAATCATCACTACACAGTTAAAGACAGCTAACATTATAATCCCCATCTTACAGGTAAAAATACTCAGGAGATTTTTGTATCATCAGTGTCACATAGCTAATAAGTAGTAACACTGGCACTCTAAACTGGAATCCAGCCTTAGTTCCCAGGGTCTTTCCTCAACATTGCACTCTCTCCTTTTTTAATGCGTGTATGCACCAAATGGTGCACCTTACCGTCTGGCCGCTAACTCTGCTTAGCTGGTACCAATACGCATCCTTTCCTGACTGGTGCTGCCACTTTCTCCTGTTTCTTCAGCTCCAACCATTTTCTATCAAGGGAGGAGGTACAGCTTGAAAGGTGCAAGGAACTTAAGACTTATTGGGTGGATTTCCTTTTTTTTTTTTTTTGAGGAACAGTAGCCCTGAGCTAATTGCTGCCAATCCTCCTCTTTTTTCTGAGGAAGACTGGCCCTGAGCTAACATTCGTGCCCATCTTCCTCTGCTTTATATGCGGGATGCCTACCACAGCATGGCTTGCCAAGCGGTGCCATGTCCGCACCCAGGATCTGAACTGGCGAACCCTGGGCCCGCCAAAGCAGAACGTGTGCACTTAACCACTGTGCCACCAGGCCGGCCCCTCTTTTCCATTTCTTTAACTGTCCTTCCACCACAGAAGTGTTTCCAACTATAAGGAACTTGACTTTCATGTTTTCAATTGTGGTTTTCCCTATTTGTATACTTTCAAAGTTTAATTATTTTATGTATTACTTGTAACATGTCTGTTTTCTGCACTAGAATATAAGCTTCATTAGAGAAGTCTTATTCACCGTTGTATTTCCAGGCACTGGAATAGTGTCTGTCACTTTGAGAAGTTCAGTATATATCTGTTGCATGCATGAATGAATGAATGGCTTTTTGTGCTCAAATATATATTTCTTTATAGTCTATTCAAGTCATGAATTGAATAGTAGCTATGAGTAACTATTCAATTTATACATCCTAATGTATAACCTAAGTCTTTTGGGGGATTTTCTGGGAATTTGGATTGTTATGCAAAGACATTAGTCTGAGTGATACATTAGGCTCTGTTTAAATACTGATGCTAATCTTGGGATTTTCCTCCAGGTTCTCTCACTGGCTTCAGCTGTGATATGCTTTTCTTAAAATTCATGTGTTACAGTACTGCTTTTATTATGCTTTGTGTCTTTGTAAAATCTTTATTTCACATCCTGTTACTGACAACAATAATGTCCCTACTGAATTGTTCTTCCCAAATTTTGAAATTATTATTTTAGATAGAAGACTGGATTTATCTGGAGTTGATTGCTTTTCTCTAACACCAAATGATTCAATGTTTGGTTTGAAATTAATATTTACAGTTAATTGAAAAGAATGTGTTTTAGTTAAGTGTTATTTCTGTTAATATTTTCCTCTCAATCCCATGCTTACTTTCTTAATTTAAGAAGGGATATTTAGCTGATTTTCATTTCATGTACGTATAAGCTGACTTGACAAGACTGATTGTTACGTGGAGAATGATGATTTTTCTTTTCATAGGGGGTAGCATTTATTTAACCTAAGACATTGTTTTAGAACTTTGGGTTGTGACCCATTAGTCATTTGTATAATCTAGTTAGTAAATTACAGTAAGCATTATTTAAAAAGTGAAACAGAAAAGCATAGAAAAGTCAGAATGCATTGCACCTAGTGAAGAAGGAAGTGTTGTTGCATACGTACATTTCTTACTGTGGATCATGGCCTTAAAAAGTTTGGATGTCACTAACCAGAGAAATGGTAAGATATGGAAATCATAAATTATGAATTCAGCATTTTATAAGATTACCAAAATTCCATCTCTTTCTCCATTTTTGGTGGTTTTAAATACAATAAGGCATAGTTCATGAATATATGTGCATATGTATATCTATGAGGTGAGAACAAAGTCAGTTTATTAAATTTTTAAGGAACTTTAGACCAAAGATTTTTCTTCCTTCAGGTGGAGTATAATGACCTATGAACTCAAATTGCCACCAAAGGCTTCTCTACTTCCAGAACCTCCAGAAGCATCTGAAGAATTTTATGTAAGACTTTAACCTTTTACCTGTTTATCTTTTGAAAATAGGGGTGAATATCTTGAACAAATAAGAAAACTTATAAGATATGGTAGCATATTTACTTAATTTTATGTTTTATTATTTGGGGTATGGTCTCATTGACTTCTTCTAGTCCTCTCCCCCAGAGGAAATAATCCTTCCAATCTAGGTTAGAGTCCTACACATGGGGGGTGTGAACTTAGCTGCATCGCTCACCTTCTGGGCCTCCGTTACTTTATCCGTAGAGTGAGGCCACAATGTCGTTAGGATTAAATGAGGTAATGAATGTGTGGAAAGCACCAGGCATGCAAATTCCCCTTTTCTCACCGCTGATAGTTCTTGAATATTCCACCTGCCTGCTCCCTCTTACCAACAGGGCTCCAGGGAAGGCCAGCTGATGACAATTTCCTGTTAGCTTTTACTCATCTTCTGTGTCATCCATGAGCACCTGTTAGGGAGCCCCGCTCCCTTAACAATCTCCAAACACACCACTATGCGTGGCTGGGGTATTATATAATTTCTCTCTTCCTGCTCTGTTGAGGGTGCATCAGTACAGGTCTGCAGGTTAAGCCTGCTGATCAAGATAAAACTAAGGAAGAAAGCTCAGTTCGTCCCATCCCTGCTTCAGACCATTAACAACTACAGTTATTAGGCATTTTTAAAGATTCAGTATTCTGATTAAACCTCAAAGCATTGGAAATTTAAAACAGAACTTAATTTTCAAAGAATTATTCTCTGATTCATTAAGACCATTTGATCTGTGATAGCTTATTTTTCCCTCTAGGAAAATTCATCTGTTTATTTTACCATTGAAATTCTTGTTTTGTCATTAAGAAAATTATGATCGTGTCAAAACTAAAGGAAGGAATGATAACTAGAAACATGGGGATATTCCTTAAAGAAGCTAATTCTATTTTCAGAAAATAGAAAAGTAGCAAAAACTGCTTCTAAAATATTTGGAAAATACAAAAGTATATAAAAAAGAAAATTAAAATCCCACTTATAGTCACTCACCTTCATGGGCCTCCTCTACTTCCTCTGTAGAGTGAGGCTGCAATGCTGTGATAATCAAAGATAATCACTATGAAAGATGAATATATTTGCTACTTTATTTCCAACAGCATTTTTATTTATAATGTTATTTTATTCACTATAAACATAATACATGTTTTTACAAGAACTAGTCTTTTTTTCTTAGTTATATTTTTGTAAATGTTACTAATTTTCCCTCCGAGAAGACAAAAGGGGGAATTCTTTTGCTGTATTTACTTCAGAGATGTCCATTTCCTAGCCTCTAAATTAAAGGTAGACAGTTTACTTTTGTCACGTATATAGTCACTAAAGATGAGATACAATTGTAACTACATGAAGGGAACTTATTTTTTTTTTCAGTACAAAAGGTTTTTGAATGAAACTTCATTTATTTTGGTTTCTTATTAAAACTTATTTTCTTAACAAAGGGATAGCATGCTTTAAGGTTACGGGTTAAATGGATGTTCTGCCTCATTCTGCTCAGTCACCATGTGTGACTTTTATGCCTTGAAAACTACAGTAAAAATAAGTTAAACCTTCCTTTTTAGGTTAAACCTAATTTTCCCGCTTGTATTTTTTTAAGTATTCATTTTGGATTCCCTTATGCATGATTGTGAAATTATTATTATTGGGTTTCTTTTCAGTTTTCCTTAAAAGGACACAAAATGTGATTGATCTTTCTAATTATTAACTATTAGCATTCTGCTGTCATTGTAGAATTATAGAGCTTAAGGAGTTGTGACAGTTTGTTGAGCAATTCCCTGCGTCCATAATTAAGTAATTCTGTTTGCTGTTATATTTTTTAAACACTGTAAAAATAGTGACTCTATGATTTCCTTCAGTAACAATGATTCTATTGTTTAATGCTCAATATTAGAATATTTCTTGTTTATGTTTAATCTGAAATCCCCATGCCATTATGTTCTCTCCTCTAGCCCTTTGTGAATGAATATGTACCCCTCCACTGACATCATGCTTAGCTCACTCCTGTTCCCACCTCAGGTCTCAGCTTGGGTATCACTTGCTCCAGGCAGCCATTTCTCATCTCCCAAGTCCTAGTACTGTGTCCTTCCTAAGGAGTTCCCTAGCTCTCTTTACTTTCCATTTTCTTAGTATTATCATACTGTAAAGATCTGGTAGTGTGTCTTATTCACTCAGCATTATATTGTCCTCTGGCACTATGACTGGCACAAAGCAGACAGTTAATAAAAAATTCTTATTGTTAATTTTTGAGCTAAATACCAAACTCTTTTGGAACAGTGGGCATCTTGGCATCAGAGCCCTCTTGCCTTGTCTGTTTCTTGGAAGCCAGATTTCTACAGCTTTTCAATTGGATTATAAGCTTTTTGATACAGAGCTCCTATTTCTGGTCTCTTCTTTATCATACCCCAATCATACTAGTCTAGTAAATCAACAGATGTTTGTTTATTAATGCTAAGATAATCAAAGAGAGGATGTGAGCTGCTGCACCCCAATCAACTCCCTGAAAACACAGAAGAGAATGGCCACAAATCTCTGGAAACAAAGTTTTTCCTACTAGTGCATTTTTAAATTTGCTCTTATAGAATAATCAAACTTTTCTCCCTTCAATTCTATGTTTTCTAGCTTCTTGGTAATAGCGTGCTGAGAAGTTGTAACTTTATTCTTTCTTTCATTCATTTAACAATATTAAGTGCCTACTGGTGCCTAGGACTGGAAATAAGAGTCTTACCCTCTGGATTCAGGCACCTTAGACTAGTGGTTCCCAAGCTCTGTGCCAGGGCACCAGTGAGCTCAGAGGGCTAAAATGAGATATTTTTAAATTTCAAAGACAACATGGTAATACTCAACATCTGTTGAACACCGCACAAACTACTAGCTTGAGGTAGTTCACAGTTTAAACATTAGGTTGCCATGCATTCCTTTTAATGACGTCATAGCTTTGTAAGCTGGTCTTTCAGCAGTTGCTGTGATAAAAAGCAAACACCATGCAAAAATCAGTGTAAATAGGAAATGAGTGTGTCATGGTTCATCTGACTCCAAGGTTTGGGATGTATACAGTGCCCACAGGCTCACAACTAGTTATTTAATAATGAAATAAGATATTTTTTCTTTTAATTTGTATTTATTTTTTCAAATGGCTATTAAGTTGTTAGGACATAAATACTTATTATGTTGTTTGGATTTAGCTACTGTTAGGTATTTCTTTCGGCCTAGGGGCACTGTGATGAAACTCTTAAAGACATTAAGGATGCCATGAGTGCAGAAAGTTTGGGAATCTCTGGTCTAGTGGGAAGGACAGACCAGGAAATGAGCAGCAATGTTAAAGGGATTTACAGGGTATAGTGGTTGCACAGAAGAGAGAATTCTCAGCCTGGCAAGTTCAGTGAAGTCTTCGCAGAGGAGGTTGTTCCCAAAGTGGATTTTCAGCACAAAAAAGAGAAGTCGGAATTAGCCAGTTGAAAAAGAGCATTACGTAGAGCTTGATGGTAAGGACCCTGGTGCATCTGGGGAGCTGCAGGTAATTCCTTAGGTTAGAGCATGTGGTGGAAGCGAAGAGCATCAAAAGACGTGACAGAGGAGAGGAATGGAGGACTCGGATTATGGAGAGTCTTGGAGTTATGGAAGGGCTTATGTTTTAGCTGGAGAGTTTTGACATTTTCTGGAAAGTAGGAGGGATATCCTCAGACTTGTTAAGCAGAGATGTGGCATGATCTGATTTGTGTTTTAGAAAAAAATCAGTGTTATGAAGTGGAGAATGGTTTGAAATGGGGCAAGAGAGACATAGGAAGCCCAACTAGGGGGCTGTTAGAATGATACACTTGAGAAATGACAAAACTTATATTTGACAAATGCAGTTAAGCAAAGACCAAGACTGACTTGGGGGGCAGTGTGGTGGAAAAGCCCCAGAGTCCTCAGACCTGGCCCCCTAACTTGTCTGCCTTTCATTAGCCGTGGGTCTTGGGAAAATCGCGCAACTCAGAGCTCTAGATTCCTTGGCTGTAAAACAGGATAAAAATTAATGGGATAAATATATACATAGTACTTAATCACAGTGCCTGCTACACAATAAAAATGTTATCTATTATAATTGTCTTACCTTTCTGACTCTGCTCAGTGACTACATAAATAGGTTAATAAGTGACATCAATAATTTTATCCCTGGGCATAGAGGTTATTTCGTTTTCCTCTGGAAGAGGTTGTATTCTTTGCCTTAGGTTATTTTTAATGGACAGAAACTTGGATTTTTAAGTGTAAATTCAGATGGAATTAATGATAGTTTAAAATATTTTCCTCAACCTTAGGCTTTATGTCAATCTACCCTGTAAGGAAAAGAAATAAAGTCAATCTTCCTGAAAAATATTTCTTCACTTTTTTAAAAGATGTATTTTCATTTTCTGATCTTAACTGTAAAGATGCAGTTTTTAACGTTTAGACCAGGAAGGAGATCAATAAAGTGGACTTGTGAGTTAATAGAATATTGTGTGAAACTTCGAGGTACCTCCCTTCCTCTTCTTTGTTTCGTGTAAAATTTCTTCTCCATATGCGGTTTGCCTTTGAAGGAAGGAAGATAGAAATTTAGAGGAGTAACGTTCTAATTGGCCACTGGTGGAATTGGATGTAAATCAGGAATGAGATCCCTGTGGGAAGAGGCTCGTCAGGAAGGCTTTACTTGCTGGAGGGTGAATGGGTGGAGGGGAGCACCGAGTGTAACTGAATCCTCATTTAAGGCTCAGTAAACTGATGCTGACTGGTAAAAGGCAATGAAAGGATACCTGAGCCAGGCAGAAGAACATAGGAGGGCAGCTTGAATAGAGCAGATCATTTATTTTTGAGCTGTGTGACATGGGATATATTTCAGGCCAACATTTGCTGGAAAGCTCTGACTATGAGGCTGTTTAAATATTGTGCACATTTTTACATATTAGGAAGATGTGTTGCTTCAACAGAATGTTATATTTTGAGTCAAATAGGAAAGGGGATGTAGGACTCCTGTAGCATTTTATTTCATTATTTGAGAGAAATATTTATTTACATGATTATATGATGTGCATTTAGCATTTTAAAAAACTTTTTTTTGAATTACACATACAGAAGAGTGTACATGTTATAAATGTACAGCTTGGGAAGTTTTCTGCAAACTAAATGAACCCATGTAATCAACACCCGGATCACAACAGTATTCCCAGCGGCCCGTGAGCCCTCCTCAGGCCCCCTTTCATTCACCGTCCCCACCTCCCACCCTAATAATCACTCTCCTGATTTCTAACAGCATAGATTAGTTTTGTCTGTTTTTGTACTTTATAAAATAGAATCATTTTGTGTGTACTCCTTTGTTTCTGAATTCTTTCATTGAACATTATGTTTGTGAGATTCGTCTGTATGTGGCATAGTTGTAGAGCATGCATTCTCATTGCCCCAGAGAATTCCATCACACGAATATACTACAGTTTTTGATCTGTCCTACCGTTGAGTGAATGTTGCCATGAATTCTGGTACCTGTCTTTTGATGAATGCATATCTGCATTTCTCTTGGGCATATATGTGAAAGTTGAATTGCTGGGTCCTATGGTAGGTATTAGGCGTATGTTCTGCTTTAATAGATACTACCCAGCCGTTTTCTAGAGTGTTTGTATTAATTTGCTCTCCCACCAGCAGAATAGGAGAGTTCTGTTGCTCCACAACTTTGCCAATACTTGGCATTTTCCAGTTGTTGTTGTTGTTCTCATTTTAACTATTCAGATTGCTATTACTATTCATTTTAACTATTCAGAGATGTAGTGGTGTCGCATTGTGGTTTTAGTTTGCATTTGCCTAATGCGGTTGAACACGTTTTCATCTGATATCTTCCTCTTTAAACTTACAGTCTTTTGCCCATGTTTTAGTAGATCATTTGGGTTTTTTTTGTACTGACTTGTAGGAATTCTTTATGTGATCAGCTATGTGACATTTAAAAAAATTGTGTGCGGTTTTTTATGGATTTTTCTAAAAATATAAATTAAAGTATTCCAGAAACTAAAAGTTTTTCACAGAAAGGAAATATTTTGTATAATGCCTCTTTTATATATTTCATGATAGCCATTGCCCTGTGTCACATGTGTCATGGATGGTCTCATTTTTGAATCAGTAATAACTGAGATGTATAAATGCCAGCAACAGTAATACAGTGTAGGTTTTTTCTTTTTTCAGATGACAATTTATGAAGACTCAGTTGCAGCTCATCTTACAAAAATCCTCAATTCTGATGAAGATGCAGTGGTCATATCATCTGCCAAGTGAGTTGTGAAGTTCAAGTCAGGAAATAGTTTTAGGGTGAAAATGAAAGGAAAGCTGGTTCCTACCATTTACGTCATTTTAGTGTGACTTGTTTTTCCAAAAAATATTTGTGAAGTAGCTTATAGAATTAGATAGAATAAACTTGGTATTGGTTTTTTAAAAAAATCACTGTAGCATCTTATTTGCAGTGGAGTATATTTAAAGGGTATTTTTGATGCTTAATTTGTAATATTTTTGTCATAAAGGTGAAATAAGTGTTTAGAAGTTAATTAATCTAAGCTCCTATTTAAAGAAGTATTTGTGATTAATTATAGTATGGGAAATACATTTCATTATAATCCATTATTTCCATAAACACTACTGTTTTGCAATTGTTTACATTGGTAAAGGCAAAATAATGATCAGATTTTTCAAAGTGACATTTCTCATTTTATGTTTAAATTGCATAATTATGTTTTAGTTCAAAGTTATCAGATTTTAATTAAGTTGATTCCATACGTGGATCCAAAGCTACTTGATTTTATTATTAATAAAATAATAACATTTTATTAAATGTTGCCTGGTTGGAATTGAAAATTTAGTTTTGAAGCATCCTATACTGATGTTGTGAGAACTGGAAAGTCAGGTAGAGGAAGAAGGAGTGAAACCAACTGAAATTTTCAACTGATAAGCAAAAGTAGAAGAATGCTTTAGGATTCTGGCTTAGCACAGAAATGTTACTATTATGCAGAAAGAGAAGAGAGAAAAGAAGAAGAAGGAAAGAGAGGATGTGGGGAAGTGATGGAGGAAAAATGCACAAAGTGGGATATACTTAATTTGCAAGGAAGTCAAGGAAAGACAGGATAAATCATTATAAACACATTTGCTTATGACAAAGGTACAGAGATAGTCACAATTGCTTTTGATGCCATAACCCTTAGGGATAGGAAACAGGACTGAGCAGCAGGAAGAGAGTTGAATGTCTTAAGGCAAGGGAAGCACACTGGTTTCCCTGGCAGAGGTGGGCTCCAGATCCTCTTTGATGAGCAGTGCTGTACAAAATGTACACATTCCAGTTTGTCCCGGGCCTCAGCAGTCCTATTTTCTTTCCCATCTCAGGCCAAATTCCTGTACCAAAGTGACTTCCTTAGGTACTTCCTAAGTTACTTCTACAAGGAAGACGTTTGCTTTTGCCAGCCTTGCCCTATGAATCAAATGCTTCTTTATAGGACATTTTAGAGGACATTGCTAGAAAAGGTGGAAAGTTGAAATGGAAACTTTTTTAAGTTATAACAAGCTATAAAAGAATTATTCCTGCCACAACTAGAAGGACCCACAACTAAAGGTATACAACTGTCTACTGGGGGGGATTTGGGGAGAAAAAGCAAAAAAAAAAAAAATAGAGAGAGATTGAGAGAGATTGGCAAGTTGTTAGCTCAGGTGCCAATCTTTAAAAAAAAAAAAGAATTATTCCTTAATGCAGTTAAGTAAATATTTTATCTGGCTGCCTTTCATAGTTTGGATGTTAGCGAAGCCTTAATATTGACCTTCATATGTATGATGTATTTAATTACTGCCTCCTATACATTTTATATATAAATATATTTTAATTTTAATTTTTTAATCGAGATATAATTATAAAATTGTTTTTTTCCCAAATCAAATCTTATACAGGATCCCAATATTAAAAAACTTAAAATTCTATTTTGTTGGCATTAATGAATTGGATAGGATTAAATTATTAGTCATTTATGGGAAAAATTAAGCAGTAAGGTTATAGATGACAGTTATAGTGTTAAAGTAGCATGCCATTTTTATTTAATTAAAGGCAATTTCCTTACAACTGTCTAAAAAAAACCAAATGCAGACATAACTGAAAACTACGTCAAGTCTAGTCCAAGATGTGCACCAAAAATAGTGAATTCTAAAGTAAAAGCTGATGTATTATTTGTCTCTAATATCTCTAATGGTTATTGGAGATTTAACAAATTATATCCTATATTTCTAAATGAAGTTCGAATCAGCATTTGTGGAATCCTTGAAGTATTTCTTCAAAACAGCTTGAAAATCACTGGCGTAAGTCAGAGTATTGCACTAAGTAGGAGGAAATCTGGAGTCCTCGTTGAGTCTCAGCCATTCGCCCGCTCTGTGACCTACGTCTGTTTTATCAAGTGTAGGAATGGAAAGAATGCCCATCTTTCCTCCCTCATGGAACTGTAGGAGAACTCAGTTGAGCAATAAAATAAATATAGAACTTATAAATTACAGAGAGCTATATTAAATCATGGTATCGTCCCCTCATGTTTCCCCAATTACATTTCAGGTCTTTTCTTTGACCTTGGCCTGACTGCGTTCTAGGCTCTGCTCTTAGCCTGAACTGTGGATTTCTCCCCACTAGCTCATTTGCATCTCAGCAGATTCCATTCCAACCCTGGTCCCCTCTTGTCACTCGTCTGTGCTCCTAGCCCTGTGTAGCTGCCCTGCCTTTACAATCCTGGATTGAAATTCAGGGGGATTTGCCAGAAAGAGATTCAAGAGAGAAAAGAGAGGAGACTATATAATAACTTTGTACCAGTAATATGATATATTTTTAAGTTAATTCGAGCTTAGTCTGAATGTTACTTCTTCAGAGAAGTTATTTCCACCTTACCTAAAGTATACTTCTTGCCCTGCTTATCTCTCTGGCTCCCTGCTTATTTCTCTGATCGCACTTTACCTGACTATGAGCTTACGTATGTATTTGTTCACTATCTGCTGCTGTAGAATGTAACCTCCATGAGACAAGGATGCCTACAAGGCAGTAGGCAATAATAAATATTTACTCAATGAACGGATGAATTGATACTGGATTTCTCCGTTTGTTTTTCTCATCATCAAACTCTATCCTCCAAAGCTTTGTCAGTGGACATTGGGAATTCCTTCCAGAGTAATCTGAAGTAAATTTAGAAATTTTTACTCATATTCAGAATAACCTCTGATCTCTTTTTTTTTTTTCTTCTACTTTTTCTCCCTAAATCCCCCCAGTATCTAGTTGTATATATTTTTTTTCAGTTGTGGGTCCTTCTAGTTGTGGCATGTGGGACACCGCCTCAACATGGCCTGATGAGTGGTGCCATGTCCGCACCCAGAATCCGAACCGGTGAAAACCTGGGCTGCCGAAGCAAAGCGCATGAACTTAACCATTTGGCCATGGGGCCGGCCCCAATCTCTTTTTTTTAAATGAAGTATAATTGACATACAATATCCTATTAGTTTCATGTGTATCATCATAGTGATTCAATATTTGTATACGTAGTCATTTCTCAAAGGGAGATAGTCAAATGGCCAATTAGAACATGAAGAGATGTTCAACGTTATTAGTCATCAGGGAAATGCAAATCAAAACCACACTGAGATGACACTTCACATCCACTAGGATGGCTAGAATCAAAAATCAGATCCCAACAAATGATGATGATGTGGAGAACTCTCATACACTGCTGGTGGGAATGTAAAATGATGCAGCTGCTTTAGAAAACAGTGAAGCATTTCCTCAAACTATTGAATGTGGAATTAGCATGGAACTCAGCAATCCCACTCCTAGGTATAAAGTTACTTTTATTTAAATGATATAGAGCAAGGTTTATTCATATATCCATTTATCACTTAGAATGTCTCGAACTTGTCGAGGACGTGCTACACAGCAGGTAGAGCTATGGTTTATATAATAAATGATCTCAGTATTTTGACAATTTGCCTAATTGTGCTTATTTTTAATATGTTTATAAATCAAAGCAAATAAGCCTCCTGAGTTTACTGAATTGCACAATTTCTTTTCCTCAAAGGATACTGTGTGAAACTGTAAAGGACTTCGTTGCCAAAGTAGAGAAGGCACATGAAAAAACATTGGAAAATGCTGTCGTAGCCGATGCCGTGGCCAGTAAAGTAAGGACACAATCAAAGCATGAAAGTTTTTTACTGACAGTGTTAACATTGAACTGTATTTTTACAGCTAAACTGATTAAGTGGTTTTCCTGCCAAAACATTGTAATCAAGAGAAAAAATTACTTTTGAGTCAGAGATGAGGGCTTTAAAACATTCTACTTCATGGTTACCCTTTAAGATACAGGAAAACGGCATTGCTGAAGAGTGTCCAACAAACTGAGTTTTATAACTCAACTCCCTTTTCCCCCCGATTGACGTCTCAAAGGAGAAATGCATGATAGTCCGGTCAAAGGGGGAGAATGCTGGGCAGCTGGTGTTCCAGTTGGGAGAAGAATGGCTTTCCATTTTCAGGAAAATTTTGGCCAGTCTGGTTCCCTCCCAGCACGGTTCCTCAGATGCCCTAGACATTATGGTCCTCTGTCCCTTTCAGGGTTCTGTTTCTCGCATTGCCCTTTTCTTTATAGACTTTTTTTTCCTCCATGAGCTTTCTGAGGCTAAAATAAGAACAGCTTACTGAACCTTAAAAGCTACTGTCTTTGCTTTCATATGCTCACGACGGGGCATTCTTACAGAAGGCTTGGGTGCCTTGGGCTTGTAAAGGAATGATCTCGCCCCAGAATCGCGTTGTAGATGGTGCTTTAATTGTGTGGAAGGAAAAAAAATAGAACTAAACATACGTTTGAAGTTTTCAGTTCTTTCTCTTGCTTTTCTGCTCTGTGGGGAGCTTGAGAAAACAGAAACCTTCTCTGGTCACACTTTTTTCTCTTAACTATTTCTGCTGTAACTTTGTCTTGGCATGTCATCAAAGACAAATAAATGCAGGAGGAAAAGGACTGGAAATTGTGTGGAGATAAAAGGTGTATTAGCAGTTGCATCAACAGTGTCAGTCCTAAATGTTCCATTGCCCTTAGTAATTGGAGAAAAGCAGAAAGAAACAAGGGCTGGGTGCTTGCTTTTCTTTCTGCACTTTTCTTCCTTTTCTTCTTTATCCTTGTACATTTTCCTTTTTGCTCTTTCTTTGAGCCAATGATCCCTTAGACACTGTTCAGTCCTTTGCAAACCAAAGCTTTGAAGGCAAGCTACTGAGACTCAGCCAGACCTGCAGTTTAGGATGTTCAAAATGGTGCCATAAGTTGATTACATAAAAAAAGAGTTTATGCAGTGTTTTGTATAATGTATAGCAAGTTTTGTATAATGTATAAATTTTTTGTGTAATCTATCACTTTATAGTAAAATGTTTGTTGCTTTCTTTTAAGGAGAAATAGCTATACAAAGATTATAAAGATTTTCACCCATGAAATGAAGTCTTAATGGTTCTGGAAGTATAAATCAATAAATTTACATAATAATTGTGCTATTTTTAAAAAATTATAAATTATTTAATTCATAAGCTAAGTATAATTTATAATAGATAGCCAATTAATGGTAAACTTCAATATAGACATCTTTCCTCTAGTATCAGAAACTATTAATTTAAATCGTCATTTTCCTTCTCCACTAAATGGAGACTCATTACTATATTTTTGTTTTCTTAGTGTTCAGTCCTAAATGAGAAGCTTGAACAGCTGCTCCAGGCTTTGCACACAGATTCCCAGGCTGCTCCTGTCCCGGGAGGCGTCAGCCCTGTCATTGTAGAAGAAGATCCTGTGGAATCTTCCAGCGAAGAATCCTTGTGTGAAAGCAGGGAACAGCTTTTATATGACACTACAAAACCTTCCTCCCAGAAAGCGGTCAGACCAAAGGAAATAATGTTGCGGGCAAACAGTTTAAAGAAAGCGGTGAGGCAAGTCATTGAAGAAGCCGGAAAAGGTACACATGAACAAAACCAGCCTTTGAAGAAGTTAGCAGTGTTCCTATTGCAAGCACAACGGAATTTTCGTATTAGTCAGGCTGGATGCACTTAGAAAACTTTTTTCAGACAAGATGTAAGATAAAGCCCTTAGAATGAAATTTGTACTTAGTACTATTTATTGTTTTAGTAGTAGGGATCAGCATATTATTGATACGTAAAATAAAATCTCGGAGATAAAGTACACTGAAAACATTGAAATAAAATTGGAAATTAAGTAATATTTCTAAAATTCTCCATATTTTTTACTTAATTGGAATCTATTGAATTCTTAAAGAAAATCAAACCTGTAAACTATTTGGGAAGTATTTTCTTAACGTTTATTTCTTAAATGTTTATGTTGCTTTTTAAAGAGTTTATAAAAGTTCCACCTATATTTTAATTTTTGTGTTAATGTAATATATATACTCTTAGAATTTTAGTAGTAGACTAAAAGTTAACTTTAATATCAATAATATTCAAAAACCCTTTACAGGTTGTAACTTGTAACTGGACTTGTATGTCATTCTCTAAAATTCTTATATTTTTTTCTTCTGATAAAAATATAATTTTGACAATTGTAAATATTTAATTTTATAATCTCTAGTACTTACAGACATCACTCCTACGTTTATTGCCAATTAGTGTTTATTTGTGAATATGGAATTTCTTTTGGTTTATGTTTCAATTTTCCTTTCCTAAGCATTTATTAATATTTGCAGATTTTATTTTTACTTGTCCAAACATACTTTTCTTCTTATTACTTAAAGTTATGGATGACCAGACAGTTCACCCCTGTGAACCAGTTAATCAGTCATTTGATTACGATAGTACAGAAACAGATGAATCTAAAGATGATGATGCAAAAGAGTCATTAACTGGTAAGAAAATTATGGTAAAATTATTGTGGAATTAAATAAAATATAATTCTTCAGTTTTTGAAAGGCTTTTCAGTTTGAAATAAACTATTTGTATTTTTATTTTTAACAAGGCTTTTCAGAAGTTAAAGCTTAGATATTCATGAACACTAAAATAATAAAGGTAACAGACTATTGTTTATTAGTCTCACATTCTTTTTTTATCATATAATCTGGAGATCATCATAATAAGCTAAGGATTATGGAAAGAAACATGGCTAAATATCTTAATTTTCCTGAAGAAAGAAGGAAGAAACACCTAAATCAGCAGATTTTTTTTTCTTTTTGGCTGAGGAAGATTTGCCCAGCGCTAACATTCACTGCCAGTCTTCTTTTTGTATGTGAGCTGCCGCCACAGCATGGCCAGTGAGAGATGGGGGAGTGTAGGTCTGTGTCCAGGAACTGAACCCGGGCCACTGAAGCAGAGCGTGCCAAGCTTAACCACTAGGCCACTGGGGCTCACCCCTAAATCAGCAAATAGTAACCTCTTTTAGCCCACAGAAACCTTTGAGAATTATATGAAAGCCCCACATGCATAAAATTTGTCATTTAAATAACGTAGAAGTCCATTGAGTTATATTGACCAGCCTAGATAGTTGATAATTCTTATCACTAAATTAATCTTTAAAATCATAGGACAGGGGCCGGCCTTGTGGCTCAGCGGTTAAGTGCACATGTTCTGCTTTGGCAGCCTAGAGTTCACTGGTTTGGATCCCAGGTGTGGACGTGGCACCACTTGTCAAGCCATGCTGTGGTAGATGTCCCACATATAAAGTAGAGGAGGATGGGCATGGATGTTAGCTCAGGGCCAGTCTTCCTCAGCAAAAAGAGGAGGATTGGCAGCAGATGTTAGCTCAGGGGTAATCTTCCTCAAAAAAAAAAATCATATGACATCTGGTTACAGTCCTATCTCTACTGAATTTATTTTTGCCAGAAAATTAGTATGTGGTTGCTTGAAGAATATTAATGATTTCTCTACCTTTTAGGTTTTAATTGAAGATGAATTTACACTTTTAATATTTCATATTGTATAAGGGAAAATTTCTAATTTATTAGAATAAATCAAAGCAAATATTAATGAAGATGAGAAGATAATATGAAAATAATTACATAGTACAAATGAAAAATCAGTGCTATTATATCAGAGCTGTTTGCAATCACTAAATTTTTGCTTTTCTTTCATTACATATAAATTTGGGCACATTACCCAAGTTGTCTGTGGTTTCCTCATTCGTAAGATGGGGATAATAATCTACCTACTCACTGTGGAGGTTAAATAAGTTAATGTACGTAAAGTGCCTAGAATAGTGTCTGGTACCTAGTGCCATAAAGGAGTGTTTGCTGTCATCATCCTGTCATCATCATTATCATTGCTACTACTGCCACGGCTGCTGCTACTGATTCATTAACTTTGAAATAATAATCCTTAATTATCTTTAAAATTTTAGAACCTTTGAAATTAAACCATATAGACCTCACATGCCTGGTGTACAGCCAATGCACGCATATTCCACAACCTTAGCCCTTTTAGACTTTATATGTACCTGTTCCAGCACACAGCCCAATTCTATCACCTGAGGCTTTTAGACCTTAGATGTCTCTGTTGCAGCATATAATCTAATGCAGGCATATTTTATAACCCTCTTGACAGATGGGCATTGAGCCTTTGGACAACTCCCTTTCAATGCATCACACTCTTATGGTCAGCTAATTTCTAACAATTAGGTTAGAAAGTTTTTCTTTTTATTGAGCTTTGTATTTTCTTCTTTAAATTTGCATCATGACTACAGTTACTATTTGTAAAGTTTTATGTATGATAATGTTGACAGTAACACCTACTGGCATTTGTGTAGTGCTTTATGGTTAGTTTAAAAGCAATTTCACACACATTATTTCATAGTATTGAAGATGATTCTGCCATGTGGCAGCTCTTAAATGATACTGAAAACAGTTTTCATGGCATCATACTTCTTCCCACACTTTATATCTTCTTTTCCAGATTCTCTCTCCTAAATTCCTCTACCCATCTTTAATGTGAAGACTTCAAACTTTTTGTTTTTTTGGTTATACCCACGTGGGCAATATGATGCCCCATTAAAATAGCATGCCCCATTTTGAACAAAATTCTCCAGATATTTCTGTAGTGTAATACACACTGATACACATACACTGCTCATTCTGGACATTTCTGATGTGATAAAGACTACCTGAGATTTCTTTTTTGCCTTGAAATATTATATAGTAGTACTATATAAAGCTGGTCTCCTCCTGCTGTTTTTGTGCAAGTGATTTTTTTAAACTAATTGTAGTAGTTTACACTCATCCCTTTGAACTTGCATCTTTTTGATTTGGACCTATCATTTCATCTTGTCAAAATCTTTTGAAGCTCGAGTCTCTCATCTCACGTTTACTTCACCTGGAATTAGATAAGCAGACCTTCTATATTTTCATCTGTCAAAAAATGTTGACTCAAGCAGGGCTGGCAGTCGTGTCCTCACAGCATGTTGCTCGATAATTCCCCCTAAGATAATGGGGGGCTCTCTTCAGAGGACTGGTTTTTCAGCACTCATTGCTAATGGTTTTCCAACCAGCTACCTTCTCACCTTACTATACTCTCATGAACTTGACACTTCACTGTGGTCTGCGAAGGAAACTAAAAGATACAGATATAGAGCTATAGATATCGCTATGGAAGTAGACATAGATTATACAAGTCTTTAACGGCACAATATTTGATCTTATTTTTTGGCTACTAATCCAATTTAGTGGGAATCAGTAGCAAGAGAAGTGTTTCTGCATTATATAATCCTTAGTTTTTGAAGCACATTCATTAAATTATGGAATAATTTATATGTCTTGAGATGTACAAATAACACTATATTGATAGGATCAATGAGATGTTATGTTTAAAAAGAACCATTAAACATTAATTTGGTTACCTGCAATAGAACATCAATCTTAGTCACTAGGATGTTCTCTGCTTTTTATCAAAGATGAATATCAAAAGGTTGTTTTTATTAGAAATTAGCTCCAGGGCTCCCATCTGTCAGAAAAAAGGATGGCTGGTCTGCTGCTTTTCTTTTAGTGTAACTGGACTGTTTTTGAACAAAGAGAGTGTAAGATTAATACAGTTAGTCTTAAGGAGAGTAAAGATAATTAAGTTTTATACTATTTTTAAATTGAGTTTGAGGATTACTGTTTTTTAAAACAGCTGCCAATAGCTCCTAAATTAGTTAAAGGTACTATTTGCTCTCCATTAAATTGTCCCAGTTTAGGTAGAATTAAATCTCTCTTTTTGTTGTTTGTTTTGAGAGTAATTCTGTTTTTTAATAATTTTAAAATGTATTGAGGTTTTACAAGAATATAAGAAAACTGTTTGGGGCAAATCATTGTTTTGAATAAATAATTGAGAAGTGCAGGAAAAGGATATTGGTTTCATTTTTTAAAAGAATGCTATTTTTCAAGGCCTGGCCCAGTGGCGTGCAGTGATTAAGTTCGCAGGTTCCACTTCAGTGGCCCAGGGTTCGCCGGTTTGGATCCCAGGTGCAGACCTACACACCGCTTGTCAAGCCATGCTGTGGCAGGCATCCCACATATAAAGTAGAGGAAGATGGGCACAGATGTTAGCTCAGGGCCAGTCTTCCTCAGCAAAAAGAGGAGGACTGGTGGCAGATGTTAGCTCAGGGCTAATCTTCCTCAAAAACAAACACACAAACAAAAAACTGTTTTTCCTTCCATTTATAGAATAAAATGTTAACTCAATTTTTATGTATTAGCTCTGGGAATTATATTAGTTAAATTCGATCATTCACCCAACATGTATGAGAAAAGGATTGCATTGGTAAAATACGTTAAAACACATATGTTACATTTTCAAAAATCAATCAGGCTTCGAAATTTCTTTTTATCTTTAAATATGGATTGATCGTATTCAACTTATGAGTATTAGTAACTGTTAATTATGGTAGATATCTGTTTCCTAATGATCTCCATCTATTTGAAATAAGAGATCAAGACATCTACCTCTTGGTCTGTGGCAGATTCCTTCCATATAGTAAGTCTAATACTACAATCCCAATTCTAAAAAAATGAAAACAAAATGGTAAGAGAATAGGTAAACACAATATAATAGTTTCAGTTCCACTGATTGATTTAAACATGTATTAAATTGTTTTATGTCTTGAATTTGTAGAGGCTTGCTTTGTTTACGACTTAATCATTACTTCTTTTTAATCTGAACTTTTTGCCAACAGTGAAAACTGCACCTCGGTCTCCAGATGGCCGGGCCAGTCGTTCCCAAACTGACTCTGGCCCTGGACCAGCCGTGGCAGCCAGCAAAGAAAACCTCCCTGTGCTCAATACCAGAATAATCTGCCCAGGTAGTACAGATTCTGAAACATGGTGTATTTTTAAATATTTCTGTATAAGTCCTCATTTCCATATAGAAAATGTGTTCTTAAAGATAAATGTTCTTTTGGGAGAATGTTCTGGGCACTCTTATTGACCAGAATCCAAATCCTTAGACTTTTGTGTGTATAAGAATTGTCTAGGAAGTATTAAAATGCATGTTTCTGAGCCCTGCCCTGAGAAGTTTTGATTGAGTAGTTCTAGAGTGGAGCCCAGGAATCTGCATTTATTAAGTACTCAAGGTGATCTCTGATCCTCTACTCTGCTACTTTTTAAGTATCTCTGCAGCTTTCCTTTTAGTTTTTAGGCCACCAGTCTTTCTATAGTTACTTTTAGACTAGTAATAGTGCTGCATTTTGGAACCTCTGAGGCATCTACTCCAGCCCTGGTAAGATAAATTTACCTTGAGATTAGGTTAGTACTAGTGGAAACCAAATGACTTGCGTGGCAGGGGAGGGAGGAAAATACAGATGTCTCAGAGGCCTCCTTAAGTACCAGTGGTTTGACTTGGTGAAGACTCCCAGATTCATTCCAGAGTAGATTGGAACCCAAATTATACCCTGATAATCAGCCTCTCCTACAAGTTCTTTTTAAAGGTGAATCACAATTCAATAATATCAATTGGAGACTTTAGTATCCCACTTTCCATAGTGGATAGAACAACTAGACAGAAATCACCAAGGAAATAGAAGGTTTGAAAAACATAAAACAAGTAGACCTAACAGATGCCTTTAGAACACTCCACCTAACAACAGCAGAATACGCATTCTTCTCAAGTGCATATAGAACATTCTCCAGGATAGACCACGAATTAGGCCATAAAACAGTTCTCAATAAATTTAAAAGGATTGAAATTATACAGACTATGATCTCCAACCACAATGGAATAAAATTAGAAATCAGTAACAGAGGGAAATTTGGAAAATGTGCAAATATGCGGAAACGTGGATCAAAGAAAAAAATCACAAGAGAAATTAAAGAATACTTTGATATGAACAGAAACAAACATCCACCATACCAAAAATTATTTGGTGCAGCTAAAACAGTGCTTAGAGTGAACTTTATAGCTATAAATGCCTATGTTTAAAAAGTAGAATGATCTCTAAAACCTAACTCTCCACCTTGATAAACTGAAAAAAGAAGAGCAAACTAAATCCAAAGCAAGCAGTAGGAAGGAAACAATAAAAATTGGAGTGGAAATAAATGAAATAGAGAATAGAAAACAATAGAGACAGTCAATGAAACCAGAAGTTGGTTCTGTGAACAGTTTAACAAAATTAACAAACCTTTAGCTAGACTGACCAAGGAAATAAGAGAAGATTCAAATTACTGAAGTCAGTAATGAAAGAGGAGACATCGCTATGGACTTTACAGAAATACAAAGAACTGTTTGGGAAAACTATAAAATATTGCATGTCAACAGATTATATAACCTGGATGAAATGGACAAACTCCCAGAAACATGCAAACTACCAAAACTGATTCAAGAAGAAATAGAAACTCCAATGGGACCCATAACAAGTAAAGAGATTGAATTAGTAATCAAAAAACTTCCTACAAAGAAAAGCCCAGGCCCCGATTGCTTCACTAGTGAATTCTACCAAATGTTTAAAGAGAAATTAACACCAACCCTTCACAGACTCTTCTAGAAACTAGATGAGGAAGAAACACTTTCCAACTCATTCTGTGAGGTCAGTATTACTCTGATACCCAAACTAGTCAAAGACATCACAAGAAAACCGCGGACCAATATCCTTCATGAATATCCACACAAAAATCCTCCCCAAAAATACCAGCTAACTGAATCCAACAACATATAAAAAGAATTATATATTGTGACTAAGTGAGTATTATCTCAGTAACGCCAGCTTGATTCAACCTATGAAAATCAATCAATGTAATATACATATTAATACAATAAAGGACAAAAACAAAATCATCTCAATAGATACAGAAAAAGCATTTAAAAAGTTCAACACCCTTTGGTGGTAAAAACAAACTAGGAATTTCTTCAAAAAGAAAGGAACTTCTTCAACTTGACAAAAGACATCTATGAAAAGCCTGCAGCTCACATCGTATTTAATAGTGAAAGGCTGAAAGCTTTCTCCCTGAGATTAGGAACAAGACAAAGGTGTCTACTCTGGCCACTTCCTTTCAATATTGTACTAGAAAATCTAGCTTGGGCAGTTAGGCAAAATAAAAAGAATTAAAGGCATCCAAATTAGAAAGGAGGAAGTAAAACTGTCTTTCTTCACAGATTGACCTTGAATATAGAAAATCCTAAGGAATACCTACAGACACACAAACACACAATTAGAGCTAATAAACAAGAAGAACAAGGCTGCAGGATAAAAGATCAATATACAAAAAGTAATTGTATTTATATACACTAGTAATAAATAATCTGAACATGAAATTAAGAAAATAATTTACGTGTCAAAAATAACAAAAAAAGGAATAAATTTTACCAAGAAAGTGAAAGATTAGAACACTGAAAACTACAAAATATTGCTGAAAAAAATTAAAGAAGGCCTAACTGAAGGGAAAGGCATCTGTGTTCATGGATTAAAAGACAGTGTTATTAGGATGGTGGCTCTCCTTAAATTGAGCTGTAGATTCTACACAATCCCTATCAAAATCCCGCCTGCCTTTTCTGCAGAAGTTGGCAAACTGATCTTGAAGTTCACATGGGAATACAGAGGACCAAGAATAGCCAAAAAATCTTGGAAAGGAAGAACAAAGTTGAAGGACATATACTTCCCAATTTCAAAATTTACTGCAAAGCTACAGTAATCAAAACTGCATGGTACTGGCATAAGAGTAGCCATATAGATCAATGGAATAACATTGTAAGTCCAGAAATAAACTCATATATTTATCGTCGATTGATTTTCAACAAACGTGCTAAGACAGTTATTCAATCGGGAAAGAATAATCTTTTCAATCAGTGGTACTGGGACAACTAGATATTTAAGGGAAAATATTAATGTAAAGAATTAAGTTGGACTCCTACCTCACATCATATATAAAAATTAACTCATCATAGATAAAAAACTTAAATGTAAGAGGTAAAAATATAAAACTATAAAAAAACAACATAGACATAAATGTTTGTATCCTTGGATTAGGCAGTGGTTTCTTAGATATGACACCAGAAGCACAAGCAACAAAAGGAAAAAGATACATTGGACTTCATTAAAGTTAAAGATTTTTGTGATTCAAAGGGCACTCTCTAGAAAGTGAGATGACAATCCACAGGATAGGAGAAAGTATTTGCAGATAATACATCTGATAATGGACTAGTATCCAGAATATATAAAAACCTCTTAAATGTGTGGGGTTTTTTTTTGCTGAGGAAGATTCGTCCTGAGCTAACATCTGTTGCCAATCTTCCTCTTTTTGCTTGAGGCAGATTCGCCCTGAGCAAACCTCTGCACCAGTCGTCCTCTGTTTTCTAAGTGGATCGCTACCACAGCTGGGCCGCTGACGAGTGGTGTAGGTCCGCGCCTGGGCTGCTGAAGCAGAGCACGCAAACTTAACCATTAGGCCATGGGGCTGGCCCCAAGACCTCTTAAAATTTAACAATAAAAAGACAAATATACTAATCTAAAAATGGGCAAAGAGGGGCTGGCCCAATGACCGAGTGGTTAAAGTTCTGTGTACCCCGCTTCGGCTGCCCAGGTTCACAGGTTCAGATTCCGGGTGCAGACTTACTCTACTCATCAGCCATGCTGTGGAGGCATCCCACATACAAAGTAGGGGAGGACTGGCACAGATATTAGCTCAGAGCTAATCTTTCTCCAGCAAAAAAAAAGCCCCCCAAAACAAAAGGAATGTTGGCGATGGATGTTAGCTCAGGGTGAATCTTCCTCACCAAAAAAAAAAAAAGGGCAAAGAATCTGAGTAGACAGTTTTCCAAAAAGGTATACAAATGACCAATAAGCGCATGAAGAGATGCTCACCATGATGAGTCATCAGGGAAATGCAAATCAAAACAACAATCAGATACCACTTCACCCTATTGGGTGGCTATGGTAAAAAAAAAAAAAAAGATAATAACAAATATTGACTAGATTATGGAGAAATTGGAACTTTCTTATATTGCTAGTTAAAATGTAAAATAGTGTAGCCATTTTGAAGAACAGTTTGGCAGTTCCTCAAGTAGTTAAACACAGAGTTAACATATAACTCAGAAATCCGACTACTGGTGTATACCCATGAGAACTGAAAATATATGTCTGTACAAAAACTTGTTCACAACTGTTTATAAAAAGGTTATTCATAATAGCTAAAAGGTAGGAACAACCCAAATGTACATCAAGTGAATATTATTTATGGTATATCCATACGGTGGAATATTATTCAGCCACTAAAAAGAATGAAGCGCTGATACATGCTACAACATGATTACCCTTGAAAACATTATGCCAAGTGAAAGAAGCTTGACACAAAAAGCCACATTTTATATGATTCCATTTATATGAAATATCCAGACCAGTCAAATCCATAAAGAGAAAGTAGTTTAATGGTTTCCAGGCTCTGGGGAGAGGAAGGAATGGAAAATGACTGCTAACGGGTATGATGTTTCTTTTGGGGGTAATAAAAAAAATTCTAAACTTAGATGGTAGTGATTGTTACACAACTTTGTGCTTATACAACAAACAACTGAATTATACACTTTAAAAGGGTGGATTTTATGGTATGTGAATTAATGTTGCAATGAAAATATTAGAAAAAAGTCCAGAACTTGCTTGGTCTGGAGGTCCAGACGTTCATGTCTAGAGGTCATGTCTCTATTCAGATCTAGAACTGTGGGATAACCTTTCTGGGCTGAAGTTGTAAACATGGCTAACCTGAAAATATTTTAGAAAATATACTTTTCTGTGGGGCATCTGGAGAAAGACTTTTCATGTCTGCAAACTGTCCTTTCCTCAGAACAATTGTTTTGTTCTTTTATTTTCTTAGACATAAAGGAAGTTGGCATAATAAAGTATGCCATAGCATATTCAAACTGTGTAATTAAATGACAGAATAAAATTCATCTTGATTATTTGATGATTAGCCAAACTGCAGTAGCTAAAATAATAATACTCTTCTAAGAAGAGCACTTGTTGAGGAAAGGAATGTTGGCCAAAGAAAGAACCTTTTTCCTAATTTCCTAGTGTTTCTCAGTTGCGTGCCATGTTTTTCTTCATTATTCTTTGCCTTTTGTTTGTTTGATCCTTGAGGTCCCTATTACTTTGTCTTGTCTCCACACATTAGTGTTTTTAGCCTTAATATTGGGATGGGGAGATCATAAAATTCATTAGCTTTGAATACATAACCAGTCAATGGAAAGCATGTTGAAATAAATTTGAAGTTTTGCATATTTAGAGATAAGATAGAGGCTTCATGTTTTTATGTTCAATCCTCTATTCTTCTAAAATTTATTAATACTCGCATTTAATATTTTACTACTTATTGTTGGCACCAACACTTTTTCACCTTAGTACTTCTGTTAACATTTTTAATTCAGTATTCTTATCCATGGTTGAAGCGTTTGGAAGTGGTAACTCCGTGACGTTTTGGGTAATTCAGCCTTTACTGTAAATTCCTTACAGACTTAATACTTTATTTGCTATAACAAAGGAAGTAATATTTATTTGTTGAAGTTATAGAATCATTGGGATGGCAAATGAGAAACTGTCACAAAGAGACTCCTATTTACGTCTTCATCTGCTTCCTTTTTTATGACAACATGTAGATCCTAAGAAGCATCCAAAACCTGTATTTACCAATGTCATAGTTTTTTGTTTTTGTTTTTGTTTTTTGCTGAGGAAGATTCACCTTGTACTAACATCTACTGCCAGTCTTCCTTTTTTTTTTGGCTTGAGGAAGATTAGCCCTGAGCTAACATCTGTGCCAATCTTACTCCACTTTGTATGTGGGACGCCACCACAGCATGGCTGGGGAGTGATGTAGGTCTGTGCCCAGGATCCAAACCCATAAACCCCGGCCACTGAGGCGGAGCACGTGGAACTTTAACCACTTGGCCACGGGGCCAGCCCCCCATAGTTCATGGTTTTGACTAATGGGAGGAGTAGCCACTGAAAACCGTGCTTTGGAAGCAGGATGTTTGAGATTTGACCTGAAAACAATGGACTGGCTCTTTCTGTTTTTTTATTAACATGTGATCTTGTATATATTTATTTTTCTGGTCAGGTTTAAGAGCAGGACTAGCTGCCTCAATTGCTGGGAGTTCTATTATCAACAAAATGTTACTGGCAAATATTGATCCTTTTGGTGCAACGCCATTTATTGACCCAGATCCAGATTCAATGTAAGAAAATACTTTTGCAAATACTTTGTTTTGGCTGTTATTGTTTCTGTTTTGTACTAATGGTAACATTTTAAATGTATTACAATAATTATGGTTCCATATACAAAAAGGGTCATCGGAAAATTTCAGAAGTGGATAATGATGAGTATGTTGACCCATTTGAGGTACAGTGGTTTTCACGATCTCTTGCTGAGGTGGGTCCCTTCCAGCCTGTAGTCTGTGACAACAACCGTATGGTGAAGTGAGGCACAGCTCTACTCACTTTCTCCTGGAATGTTTTATTCACTGATGCCTTCATATCCATATTTTTGCTATTCCCTTCACCTCCTTTCTTCTCAGTTTTGCCAAATCTGTCATCTTTCCACGCCCAGCTTCTGAGTTTACTTATTTCAGGCAGCTTCTGGCCCACATTGATCTCTTACCTTTTTAAAACTCCTAAAATAATTTTGACGGTTCAAGATAAACTTCCTTTTTCTTCCGTGTTCAATTTTGCTTTTGTTGTATCTCATTTCTCTAAGGACAGGCCTCAAGGACAGGACTGTATTTTCAACTTTGTACTTTCCAAAGCACCTAGAAGAATGGATTTGATCTAGTAGTTGTTTGCTGAATCCATATTTGTCTATTGATTAGAGTAGAAATGGAGGAGACTTTCTAACAATCAAAAAAAGGAGAGCATTGTTAGTACCTGACTGCAAGCCCCTCCGCACATCTGTGTAGTGAGGGGCTTAGGTAGGAGAGAGAAGAACTAAGATTTTGTTACAATTATTAGAAAAGTATTACTGTGACTCTCTCTCCACTTTGCCTTGCCCACCATCCCTTTATGTCACTTGTGCCAAAATTATACATATGGACTAGGATTGTGCACATGGGGTATGAATAAGAAGTGATTTCTGCTAAGCTTTACTCTCTTTTGTAAGGAATAGAAGCTTAAATGGTGTGAAGTGCTATTTTGTGTACAAATTGTAATTATTATATATTAACCTGGAATTGACTTTTATGTACTTCTCCTTGTTATCATAGAGATGGATATTCAGAAAAATGTGTCATGAACAATTACTTTGGGATTGGATTAGATGCGAAAATTTCGTTAGAATTTAATAATAAGAGAGAAGAGCACCCTGAAAAATGCAGGTAATTTTGGTAATAGTAATAATGTTATTACGTGAAGGCAATTTTACTTTAATTTCATTTATTATCTCTTTTGCTTACTCTGCCTTTCAAGAGTAAATAAATAATAGTTACTGAAATTGCCTGCCAACGTTTATTTTCAGGAGCCGAACTAAAAACTTGATGTGGTATGGTGTCCTTGGAACCCGGGAGTTATTACAGAGATCGTACAAGAATTTAGAACAGAGGGTTCAACTTGAAGTAAGTTCCTCTTGAAGTAAATACGTTTTGGATCATCTTACTTAGAAAAACAATTTCATTTGTGGAGCTAATTTGGTCTCAATTTCTCTTTATTAGTGATTAAACACTCAAGGGAAAAAATGAAAGTGATTATCAACTTTATTATAAAGGAGGTATAGACACTGGAAATGAGTGACACACATAGTTATCATTATCATTAGCTCCTGAGATATGGATTCTGCTGCAGAGTCATGGTGCCCCATGAAAAGGTGGAGCCGTGGAGTACATTTATAGAATAGGATTTTTAACAGACTTTCTCATTTACATTTCCAAATTCTGACCCAATTCTATAATGCTTAAAGTTTTACCCTATAAATAGCATTCATAGTAAATAGAATCTTTTAATTTAAGTGTATTTTTTGTTCCAATTATTTCTAACAACAAATTAGTAAAAGCAAAAGAGATTTTGATCTTTTAAATTTGTTAGTATTTTTTACTAATTTAAGTAAGAAATTAAGGACAGCAAAATTGATTTAATCTCCAATAACAGAAAAAAAGAAGTTTGGGGTCATGGCTCTGAAAAGTCTACTAATTTCTGTGAATTTCATTGTCTTTCACCCTTGGTTCAGGGCTCACTGTTTATGCTCATAGGCATGTCTTTCCTTTGTTGTTAGTCCTGTCCAGTTGATCAACTCCTAGTGACCCTCTGAACAGTGGAGCGGAACCCTGCTGGATCCTTTTGTGCCATCCTTTCACCTTCTGGTGCTATATCAGACAATCCATTGCTATTCATAGGGTTTCATGGCCAGTGTTTTTGGAGGTGGGTGGCCAGGTCCTTCTTGCTAGTCTGTCTTAGTCTGGAAGCTCTGCTGAAACCTGTCCACTATGAGTGACCTTGCTGGTATTTGAAATACTTGTGGCCTAGCTTTCAGCATCCCAGCAACACGCAGCCACCCCAGTATGACAACTGGTAGATGGGCGGTGTGGTTCTCTCACTAGAAATGAACCTGGGCTGCGGTGGGAGAGTGCTGAATCTTAACCACTCGACCACCAGGGCTGGCTGTGTTTTTCCTATCTTGTATCTTTTTATAACCAGACATTTTTAATTAAGGTATATCCTACATACAGAAAAGTGTTCAAATCTTAAGTCCAAAGATCAATGAATTAAACTGAGCATTATTGTTTTAGGTGTTATCTTAACACTGGAATGTGGACTAAAGAGGTGCCTGGCTCATTCATTATCAACTAAATGTCCTAGTAAAAGTAAGCCTCTTATACGTTCCTCTCTAGAACACAACTACATGATCAGCTGGTTTGATTTATCATTGCTTATAAAATTAAGATCAGTGTTACTGGCTGAAAAGATGCAAAATCAGGGAAGTTCACACCTCGTTAACACTGTCTTTGACAGCCCCATCCCCAGGTCAACTTGGCTTCTCGCTGATGTATTGTATAGTAATCATTTATTTTTCTGTCTATGTCACCTTGCCCCAGTGGGCCATACTCCTCTTAAGGACAGGTAGGAAATTGTATTCATCTTTGTAAACTCATGTGTTATGCAATACCTAGACCTGTCTCGAGGGGGAAACAGACAGGCAAATTATCATTTTACCATAATTTGGTAAGTACTGAGATCAAGCCCCATAGCTGGCCATCTTTAAGATTTAGGGAACTATCTGGAATCAAAATGGCTGGATTGTGTTTGTTCCTAGAAGAGTGTTGAGCTCTTCAGAAATAGTCTTTCTAGCCTTTTCTATGGGTAGTCCAAATTCTGAACAAGACTATCTTAAATACATAGCTACTTCTTACTCTCCATTTAACAGCAGTTCTTAACCCTTTTTGAGCTATGGCATTTCCTTTGGCATTCTGGTGAAACCATGGACGCCTTGGTTAGTCTATCTAAGGGTTTATCAATTTTATCTTTTTGAAAAACTGCCTCTTAGCTTGGTTAATATTTTCTATTTTTCTATTCTCTATTTCATTTATCTCTGCTCTAATCTTTATTAGTTTCTTTCTTCTTCTAACTTGGGGCTCAATTTGTTCTTTTTTTTTTTCTAGTTCCTTAAGGCATAGATTTAGGTTGTTTATCTGGGACCTTTCTTCCTTCTTGATATTGACGTTTATTGCTATGAAATTCCCTCTTAGAACTGCTTTTGCTGCATCCCGTATATTATTGTATGTTGACAGTTTTTTTCTTGCAGTATTTTGAATATGTCATCCTATTCTCTTCTGGCCTGAAATGTTTCTGTCGAGAAATCTACCCGTAGTCTTATGGGGGTTCCCTTGTATGTAACTTCTCTCTTTTCTCATGCTGCAGTCTTTGTCTTTGACTTTTGACAGTTTAATTGTAATATGTCTTGGTGTTGCTGTATTTGGTTTCAGCCTATTTTGGGTCTTTTGGGTCTCATGGATCTGGATGTCCATTTCTTTCCCCAGTTTTGGGAAGTTTTCAGCCATTATTGCTTTAAATATACCTTCTGTCCCTTTCTTTTTTCCTTCTGCAATGCCTGTAATGTGAATATTGTTGCTTTTCATTGTGTCACACAAGTCTCATAGGCCTTCTTCACTCTTCTTTTATTTTTTCTTTTTGCTTCTCTGATTTGATGATTGCTAATGTCCTATTCTCTACATCACTGATTCTTCTACTTGGTCTAGTCATCTGCTTTTGAAACTTTCTCTTGAATTCTTCAGTTCATTTATTGCCAGCCCTAGGGTCTGGTTTCCACACACCCAGGTAAGGAGCTGAGTCACAGCCCCACCTGCTGTGAAGAGTGTCTCCCAGCCACATCTGACCAGAGGGGCTGGTGGGAACACCTGGAAGCTGTGTAGCTTAGCAACACTCCAGCCAAGAGGTGGGCTGGCAGAACTGATGCCTCCAGAGCAAAGCCAGTGCTGGGGGTAGAGTGTTCCCCAACCATCTAGCAACCCTGACCAGAGAATCCAGGCAACCACAGAGGCCATTCTACAGCCTCACTTGGGTAGGGAACCAAGCCAGTAGTCCTATCCAACTGTTCTCAGCCAGTGGCACACCCCTGCATCCCTGACCTCAGAGCTTGAACAATTGCCTTGCCCCCAAATACACCATAACAGTAGCCACCTGCCCAAGGACATTACCAGTAGACATGCCTAGAAACACAAATTGAGCTGTCTCGTGAAGATGTGTCTCTGCCAAAGCAAACCAGTAAAGTCTGGAAGAGGAACTTGATTACTCAAATGCAGAATACCAATGCAGGGAATAAAGGATCATGAACGACTGAGTAAATGTAACACCAAATGAAACTAATAAAGCTCTAATAACTGATCTTAAAGAAATGGAGATTTATGAACTGTCAGACAAAAATTCAGAATAATCATCTTAAAGAAGTTTAGTGTGGGGCTGGCCTGGTAGTGTAATGGAGCAAGATCAGAGTTGGGACTCCCACAAAGTGACCCACAATGCTGGGGGCATGTTGGTTTTACCCTCTGGGTTCTCTTTTCCCACTAGAGGCACCGGAAGCTCAGGGGACACTTCTCTGCACGTGGTGCTGTGCTGGCCTGGGGGAGGGGCAATGCCGTCACTGTGTAGCCACTTCTCTTAGCCTTCTAGTGCGTCTGTCTTGGTCTCTGTGTTGCAGGGTGGGAGCTTCAGCCTCACCCCTGGGTTCTAGGATTCTCTCAGATGTCTTGTTCTTGAATAGTTGTTCTTATGAGGGGAGGGAGTGAAATCAGGAACAACCTACGTGGCCATCTTGGTGTCGTCACTCTCCCAACTAAATATTTTTTAATTGTTATAGAGTGCTATATGTGTTTCTTTAGTGCCACATAAAATAGCAAAAATCTAATGGCATATATAGTAAATATCAAAAATTTTGATGTAATGATGAACATAAATGATATTGCAAGATGCCTGAAACATCTAATGTAATGTAACACAAAAATGTCTGTTTTTCTGTTGGTAATGAAGTCATAGGTATTGTCAAAATATGCTTTGTTACCTACGTTTACGATTGGATACAATGCTAAATTTCAGAGGTTAGTGGACAGAAGAGATACAGACTGGCATGAGAGTTAACAGATTCTTGAATCTACACATAGACCGCTGGTTTCTGAACTTTAGGTTAAGAGACCTTGATATAGAAGTTTATGTCAAATGATAAAAAGGGAAATAAAATCAGTAAAACAAGATAAATGAAAACATGTTAATATATATAAAAAGGTAAAGTAGAAAAAGTAGAGAATTCTTTATCATAGTTAAAAACAAACAAATCACCTGCTACTCCTGAGGACTATGGAAGGCCCATTGTCTAAAACTTCATTTCCCTGATGCTGGATCACTTGGGATAAAGGTGGAAAAGAGAGACCCAAGACTTGGGACACTGCCCAGAAAGATCCCTTGAAAGACAGTGCCAGTACTTGGCAAAAAAACTCAACTTTTTCTCAGAGAAGTTTCCTTTCCCTGTTGTATTGTATAGAAGAAAGACAATCTGAGTTCATGTCTTGACTTTGAATTGGTGCGGAACAAAGACTTTGACCTTAGTTTCCCCATCTGCGAAGTGGATAAGTAATGCTTTCATGCAAGATCATAGTTCAGTGAGTCAATGCATAAGAAATCACAGTGGAAATTGAAAAGAACTATACAGATATAAACGGTTTCTCAAGCCACGTCAACTGTGAATCTGATGTGTACCCAGGTTTCAGAACCATTGAGTGACATTTATAATCCTCTTTATAATCATGGGAATGCCAGAAATTAAGATTGACATCATAACATCAAATTTTGCTACTTTTAGAGTAGAAACACCTTTGATCTATGAGTATAAAAATTTCATTAACATTTCAAGCTCTTTTCTTAAGAAGTGTGACTTTTTTGCTCATAATATACCTAATTTACACATGTCAAGTAGTGTGTTTTATTTTTTAAGTGAAATAATGATTATATGCTATTTTGAGTCCTTTAAGTACTAAGATACATGAAGTAAAAACAACTTTTAAAAAACAATGTTTATCTGTCGTCTATAATGAAATACATAATAAAGAACAAATAGTTAATTCACATTCTTTTATTCTAAATATTCTCATAAGCAGATAATGGATATTTTCATAATCTGTTTATACCCTTTCTAAGACTCTAAATTTAGTTTATTGTATAATAGTAATTTCTGTCTTTGTTTCATTTACTTTAATAACTGGGTATAACTACTTTTTAAATCACCTTATAATAAAGTTTACTGAATGCTTTCTACATATTGCCTTTAATTCTTAAAGTTTGTGAGGTAATTGTTATCATGCTTTATGAGGCAGGTATTATTATTCAGTTTGGAGGAGTAAAGTCACCTGCCCACGATCAAACAGTTAATACCTGGAGGAGCCAAAATTTCAACTTCAGTGTTTTTTCACCGTAAAACATTAATTTGTAATTATGACTGAAGAAAGAAATTTGCTGGCATCCTACTACGTGTTTTAGGTGCTTTCCTATCCCTTCCTTATTGGCCACACTATGGACTAGGCATTATTAGCCCATTTTACAGGTGAGCAAAATGAAGCTCTGAAAGTTTAAGGGACTCACACAAAGAATAAGTGACAGAATTCAAAACAGATCCACTGGACCGCACTGCCCAGTGAAAGGGGAAGAAAGCTGATACTAATCAGAAAAAAAGTATAACGGCAATTCTCCAGCATTTGGCCACATCATGAACCACAAGTGGAAATGTGGAAAGACAGAGAAGATTATAAAAGAATGTAGCACTTCTCAAGTTTTTCCTGATTATAAGAGAAATTGTTGAGTCAGGTGACCTTAATATATTGAATCTCTGCTTCTTACATTTTTCCTAGGAGACTCTATGAAATGGATATTAAGCACCTAACTCTGGGTGTTTTGCTTCATGTGTATATGTTAAATTCAGCAACAGACATGGAACTTCCTTCTGAAAATGTTGACCATTTTTCATAGTATGTTTGCAAGTAGTGTTTCTCTTTATAAAATCTTTAAGACTGCTCTGAATTGGTTTTTAAATACTTCTTTTATATTTACAGAGATAGCATTTTTCTGTTTCCTTAAAGTTAGTCATATGATTTGAAACAGCTTATGATAAAGCACACAGAGATATCTGTTCAATTTATTGGGTTCAGAAAAAGTTTATTTTTCTACTAAATACTTAATGTTCATTCATTGAATGAACACTCATGGAGCAGCAGCTAGGTGCCAGGAACGGCCCTAGGTGCTGGATACAGCCTGCATCTTTGAATGTGTTTTCACGAAAAGGAAAAGAAAGGAATTGTAAAAGATGCCTATGGGGGTAAACCAAGTATAAATTATCCTCAGTTATTTAAAATGATTGAAAAATGAATCCAAACTGGCTTCTCATTTGTTCTAAATGTTGAAGATAATTTTGATTGGGCATTAAAATGCAATTTTTCTAAAGTTATGTTAATTATTTTTTGATTTGAGAATTATTTAATGAAAATATAACATCTGTTTTAAGTATGACATCTGCAAGCTCTTCACTTAAAATGAAGGCTTAAACCTTCTACTCAGTAAGAATTTATTCCCGTGGCAAATACAATTACTTCACCAACCATGGGATTTCTTTTTTAATTTATGTGGTAATTAAATTGGTATTTAAGTGATTAATTAGAAGGCATGGAGTGCTTCCTGACATGCATGTTTTCTTCTTAAAGAACTTGGTTTTGAGTTTAGCCGGTCCCCCAGTTGGTTACAGACACAGGCGAAGTTCCAGGACTTGTGAGAGGCACTAGATGAGGTGGTCAGGACCCAGAGTCACCCTCACAGAGGCTCCTTTATAAAGGATGCTTAAAATAAGTACAAAGATGGCTATAATACAAATGAGAATATCATAAGTGATCTAAAAAGGACTCAAGGAAGGTACTGCTTGATCTTGGAGGAAAAAAGAGATAAAACATTTTTAAAAATTTGATCTTCTGTAATAACTTCTGCTATAGTTGTTTATACTTTTTAAATTTTTTTTTTTTTTTTTTTTTGCTGAGGAAGATTCTCCCTGAGCTAACATTCACTGCCAATCTTCCTCTTTTTGTTTGTGAGCTGCCACCACACCATGGCCACTGACAGATGAGTGGTGTAGGTCCATACCCAGGAACCGAACCCAGGCTGTCAAAGCAGAGCATGCCAAATTTAACCACTAGGCCATTGGGTCTGGCTCTGTACTTTTTAAATGAAAAAAAAAAATTAGGTAAAGGTAATGTGTAGGAATATATTTATAGGAGAGCAAGCATTACCAACACACTTTCCTCCACCGTCCTTTGTCTTTGGTGTTCTAGTGTCTTCACACTAGTGGTTTTGCTCTTCTTATCTAACCTCTAAGCTTTTGACCTTACAGTGTGATGGGCAGTATATTCCTCTCCCCAGCCTGCAAGGAATAGCAGTGTTGAACATTCCCAGCTATGCCGGAGGCACTAACTTTTGGGGTGGAACTAAAGAGGACGATGTAAGTATTTCCTTGCCCTTTCCAGCTTCTAGAGGCTGCCCACATTTCTGGGCTCATGGCCCTTCCACCGTCTTCAAAGCCAACAAAGGCAGGTTGAGTCCTTCTCATGTTGCATCACTCTGATCTCTTCTGCCTCCCTCTTCCACTTTTGATGACCTTTGTGATTACATTGGGCCCACCTGGTCATCCAGGATAATCTCCCCATCTCACGGTCCCTAATTTAATCATATCTGTAAAGTCTCTTGCCCTGTAAGGGAACATTCACAGGCTCCTGGGATGAGCATGTGGACATTTTGGGGGCAGGGAGGGGGCCTACCAAAATACCTTTCTGTGCTTTTAATTTTCTAAATTTATGTGTGTATTATTTTTATTTTTAGAAATGTCAAAAGGGCTCATTCGGCCATTAAAGTTTGTCTATTGCTATTTTCTTTGTATCCTTTCCTATATTAAAAAAAACACACAACCTAACCAATGTAGTTGTTCTAAAAATAATAAAATACAAAAGAGAACACAATTATTAAAGTAAATCTAACGATAAAAATGAGAAGTGTTATTGTGATCTTTATTTGAAGAGTCACATACATTGACAGGCCCTTTGACTTGAGGCTTTTGAAAGGATGGTTCCCACTGGCCCATTTTCTCAGGGCTCTTAAATGAGCAGGCAAGGATTAAAGTATAGAATAAATTGGAAAGTATTTGTAATTTTCGTGATATGAATATATCCAATCCTATTAGAGTATAAAAACTTACATTAGCAGTCAGTTTTTTGTCAGCCTATCACTACTCTTAAATATTTTCAGGGGAAGACATCAGTGAGATTAAGATAAATAAAGCTAACGTCTCTTGAATACCTACCGGGTAGTTAGACAGTGTTCTGAGATCTTCACATTCGTAATTTAATACCCACAGTTTTTATCTAAATTTTACCAATGAAGAAACTGACTCAAAGTTTACACAGTAAGTAGCAGAGACAACATTTCAAACTAGGCAGTCTGATCACAGAAATGATAAGAAATCATCAGTGTGTGCAAGTTTGTGTCCTGATATTTTCAGTGAAGGTTTTAATTAGGATACTACTTTATACTGAATAATTTTTTCAGAGGCATGATTATTTATGATATGGTAAAAGAGACAATACAGCTGAAATTTAAAATTTTGGATTAAATTAATTTTGTGAAAATGCATTTAGTGTCGAAGCAAAGTAAGCCTATGTGATTTTTATCCTTTGAGGTTTCTATTTCCATATTCTCAAATGCTCTAAAAAGTTGTTACGTTAAGATGTAAAGCACATATACATACTGCTTGTTACACCTTGAAAGATTCCCCGTACAACATACCAGGTGAACTGGAGCAGAAGTTGCATCTCCATTAGCCTTAACCTTATGAAATCCATGTGATCTTTCGAATTTTTCACATTTCCTGAGATTATACACATCATTTTATCAAGACGTCTAAGTTCTGTATGCACAGACATTTAATACATTTTATACCGAGATGAATTCTTTGGAAATATAATAGTTCACTAATCCTAAGAGTGCTTTATGAGGGGCATGAATGTTATATCCACGTGGGTTTTAAAACCTTTTTTATTATGTTTATTTATTTTAAGCTATCCACAGTGATTATTTTGTCCATGGACTAGCACTTCCTAATAATATATACTTAATTTTCTGCTTACTATTTTTATAGATTTTTTTTAAAAATATGTGTATTGCAGTTTACATTGCTCGATGTGCCGGTTTACTTGAGCCTCAACTTTATTAGTGAAAGTATAATGTAGTTTTTCCTTTCAGATATTTGCTGCACCATCATTTGATGACAAGATCCTAGAAGTCGTTGCAATATTTGATAGCATGCAAATGGCTGTTTCAAGGGTTATTAAGCTGCAGCATCATCGAATAGCTCAGGTTTGTTTCTCAGATCAAACCTGACTTCACTACTTGGGCCACTGGGGACGCCTTTCCAAATGACTCCTACAGTGTATATTCGTCCATAAAGTACAGACTTTCTTGTCATGTCAGTTGTTAGTATGTCATCCTAAGTGGAAAAGCATAGCATTCCATCCCACAGATTGGACTAAAAGTCAAGCTTGAATGCAGATTGAGTGTCAATTTCTCAGGATGATTCCTACTCTAAAATGACTCGTTTTGTTTCAGTGCCGTACAGTGAAAATCACTATATTTGGTGATGAGGGAGTCCCAGTGCAGGTGGATGGTGAAGCATGGGTTCAGCCTCCAGGGATTATCAAAATTGTGCACAAAAACAGAGCTCAGATGCTAACAAGGGACAGGGTATGTAACAAAAATATTTTTCCAGATTTTTATCAAGCCTTTCCAAAAAACTCACAAATTTTTATGAAAAATAGAAACCAAGGAAAGAGATTTAAATTCACTCTTAAATCTGACATTTAAGTCATTGTGGTTTTAAATATGAACAAATATTTATTTAGTTTTAAAAAAAATAAGTAGTCTTTATTTTTAAGTTTTTTTAGGTTTAAAGAAAAAGTGAGCAGAGAATACAGAGAATTCTAATTCTGTTCCCACATACCTCCTCACCTTTCCAGTGAACACATAAATTTCCTTATAATGTTCTCCTCACCATCTTGCATTAATGTGCACATTTATTACAGTTGATGAGTCAATACTGATACATTATAACTAACTAAAGTTGTAGTTTATGTTACTGTTTGTGTTATACATTCTATGTGTTTTGACAAATGTATAATCACTTGTATCCACCATTACAGTATCACAGAGAATAGTTTCCCTGCCCTAAAAATTCCTTGTGCTCCACGTTTCTATCCCTCCCTCCCTTACCCCAACCCCTGGCAACCAGTGATCTTTTTACTATCTCCATCGTTTTGCCTTTTCCAGAATATGTATTTTTAATTAAGGTCACACGCATAACAAACAAGACTGCCAATGTTCCTCCTATGTATTATACATATAATAGTAAAGATTGAAGCATAAATTGAAGCTATCTGCTTTTTTTAAGATTGACACCTGAGCTAACATCCGTTGCCAATCTTTCTGTGTTTTTTTGTCTTTTTCTCCGCAAACCCTGCAGTACATAGTTGTATATTCTAGTTGTAGGTCCTTCTAGTTTTGCTATGTGGGACGCTGCCTCAGCATGGCTTGATGAGCAGTGCTAGGTCCACGCCCAGGATCCAAACAGGCAAAACCCTGGGCTGCTGAAGCAGAGTGCACGAACTTACCCACTCGGCCCTGGGGCAGACCCCTGAAGCTGTTTTTTTTAACTTTTCAGTGATATAGTCATCATCATCAATGACACTACTTTTTACTTGTTGTGATACACTGGAAAATGTTAAAATATCTTTTTTGTACTTATGATTTAGTTCATGTGGTGTTAGAATAGGAAAAAAGCAATAGTGATTTGAAAGTCATTCGTATAATATCTAAATACACATTTGGGCCTCAGAGTTCTAAAGTAACAATTCCTTGTAATATTGATGTCAAATAGGCTTTTGAAAGCACTCTGAAATCTTGGGAAGATAAACAGAAGTGTGATGCTGGTAAACCAGTTCTTCGAACCCATTTGTACATCCAACATGCCGTTGACTTGGCAACAGAGGAGGTGTCGCAGATGCAGCTCTGCTCCCAGGCCGCGGAGGAGCTCATCACCAGGTATGGTGGTCCTGCTGGCTTTTGGGCTGTGAGAAGTCTGGTGTTGACCAGTTTTGTTTTTTTAATTTTAATACATCATCGGTTTGCGATATCTAAAAGAGATAATTTTACTCTCTCCATTTACTGCCTTATTTATGCCTCAGCAATTATGGCTCTCCTTCATCAGATCCTCTCCAACACATGCATCTGCACACCTGTGTTCTCTACAGAACAGATCTTGGATTTCCTGAAACACAGTGGAGAGCTTGCCTACTTACCATACCACACAGTACTCTTTCCCTCATTGTTTGTTTCCTCAGTTTACACATAATCTTTACACTATGCCGTTCACTATGCTGCCTTGTAATTATTAATTAAATGTTTATGGAATGTAGAAAGAAATATAAACATTAACCCTGCTCCCAAGGAGGCTTGGAGGGTGGTGATGGGTGGCAAGAGTCCAAGAATTAGTTTCTGACAGACTTATCACAGAGATTGCAAGACCATACAAGTTAATTTTAGTAGACAGAAATGGAGGAGATAAGAAACACAAGTTCTATGAGTGTAAAACAGATGAAAGTCACTATGACCAGGAGTAGGCTTCAGAGGGGAGGAGGGGCCACAGACAAGTGTCGTATCTCCTCTTCACCTAAATCTTATCTACCAAATGAGGATAGTAAGAGCTACGCTCTGAGGTCACTGTGAAGGTTGCTTGAGTAAAGCACTTTACCACCAGGTAGACTGCTTATTAGCACATCCTATCTGACACATTTAGTGTTCCCTGCATGGTAGCTATTTTATCTTACCACACCTTCGTCTGGTCACTGATAAAAATGTTGAAAAAGAAAAGAAGGCAGACAAAGCTCAGTGGTACTAGGGGCTAACTTCCTCCTTCCCCTCCCGCCCCCTCACCATCTGCTCCCCCTCTCCCATTCCTCATTCTCCTCTCTAAATATGTGTTAGGTACCTAGAATGTACTAGATGTTAGAGATATAAGAGAAAAGATTTATGCTCCCTACTGCTGGGGACCAACATTCAGAATTAGAATGAAGTATGATAAGTGCAAGATACTGGGTAACTTAGAAGAAAGGTAAGGGAAAATGAATATTTAGTCAACTAAATCCACGTAACTGCATTATCGTACATCTCAGCTTCTTATCCACAGAGATATTAGTTTTAGGGAGAATACATTTCTTTTAGATAGTACTATGAACAACTTCTATGGACTCCAATTTATAAGGGTTTTTTTTTTCTTTTTTCCCAGCTTTGTTGAGGTATATTGACAAGTAAAAATTATATATCTTTAAGGTGTACTTGTGATGATTTGATATACGTATACATTGTAAAATGGTTACCACAATCAAGCTAATAAATATATTATGGAAAATAGTATGGAATTTCCTCAAAAAATTAAGAACAGAACTACAGCATTTTCGTGAAACCAGAATATACTCTCTTGAAGCCAGAATATTTCCTATATTATCATCCTGTCAACCAACCAAATAACCTTATCCAAAAAAAAAAAGGAAGTGAAAGTTGGCCAGACTTGCGTTTGGTCAACTTAGTTTGGTTCCCCATCTGTTTTTTAAAATTTTTCAAAAGATGAAAATCAGTCTCACTCATCAGTTTTCAGAATTTATTCATTCAATATTTACCAAATAATTTTGAGCCTTTATATTAGGCACTGGGGATGCCAAGATGACTGCATTGCAGTCGTTCTTCTGAATTTGCTGGCAAAGTAGTAGGAGGGAGAAGTGTAGTTGAAGTGCTGTCACAGGTCACACAGTGGGCTCTGTGGACACACAGAGGAGGCACAGAGGGAGGGCAGCCTGGAGGAAGTGGCCTCTCAGCCAAGTCTTTAGGGAAAGTAAAAGAAGAAGCAGTCTACGCATGGGAACCAGCCTAGGCAAAGGCCCAAAGGAGTGTATGTGTATAGTACTTTCAGGAAATCTCAGGGAATTAGGGTGACTGAAACATTGGCATGGTGTATTTGAGAGTGTGAGAATGTGGATGGAGAGGTCGGGAGGGGCCAGTTCTTTATCAGGGTGTTTCTAGAAGCAGTCTGGAGGACAGCAGGATGAGGGCAAGGTAAACACTGTTGGAGTGGTCCTGATAGGAAACAGTGGATTGAGGCAATAGAGATGGAAAGGGGAAGAGAGATTTAAGATAGGATCTAAAATTGATTTATGGGTATGAATTAGGAGACAGGATGACCCTATGGTTTCTAGTGAATGGCTAGGTGAATTTTGGTGCCTTTGACGGAGCCGTAAGATTCAAGGAGAAGAACAGGTTTTGAGAGAGAAAATGATGGATTCCATGTTGGATTAAAGAATTTCAATTATGTTAGAAATATCTAGGAGGAGGTTCAGTTGGCAGTTGGAAATGTTGATCTGAAGTTGATTTATCTCTTTCTTTTTCTTTGAAAATTAGAATAACATTTACCCATCTCTGTTCTGTTGGTAAATAACCCATTCTTCATAATTTCTCAAGGTTATTGGTAAGAATGCTGAGATGACATTTGCAAGTTCCTGTGTCCCTTAGATATCAACTATATGATCCTTAAGAGTTAAACTCCTTTCCTTTACTCTTGATTAAACTGAATAGGGCTTCTGCCTGTTCTCTTGTTCTACCCTTTCCAGATTGAAGATCGTTCTCTTTGAAGATACCAGAAGCAAAAAGGGTTTGAATCATCTTGCCTTCTTGCTTGTCTGTAAACCTTACATCATTTTCTAGCAATTGGTAGAAATCTTTCTCCTTTCTTTTCTTTGGCCTTAGTGCCCTCCAGGATTTTGTTTTTCCAGAACCATTCTTGAAGATTTAGATTCCAGAGGACTGTGGCACAACAGACTTTGGAGTTGGATAGACATAAATTCAAATCCTGTTTCTATCATTTACTAGCTTTGTGTACGTACTAAATCTCTCTGAGCCTCAATGTATTCACCTATAAAGTGGAGAAAATTAATCACGGCTGCCTTTTAAGATTGTGAATATTAAATTAGATAATGTATATAAGGCATTTAGCCTATAGATGATAAGTATGATAACGCTCTTGCGCTAATCTGTTGTGTTTGTTCCTGGTTGAAATTTCAATGAATTAAAGATAAGTTTCTACTCTTTACATTTGGGACCTCTCTCACTTTCCAATGATACCGCAGAATGAAGTGTTACTGTATTTTTTCTTCCAAATAGCAACTGAATATGTTTCTCTCTGATTCTAAGCCTAACTTTTTATATAAGGATTTTTGCTTTACTGGTCTTTGTTGCAATGGGGTTTGAATTTTGTAAATCTACCTGGTGCCATTCATAATTGAGCAGTGATTTAAGAAAAAATTTTCCCGTAGTGACTTTTATTTTACTTGTTTTATTCTACCACTTCTACACTTCAGAAAAATCAACAATACTCAGAAAGTTTTTCGTTCATTTCTTTCCTTTTCACTTTCAGGATTTGTGATGCAGCCACGATCCACTGTCTTTTGGAGCAAGAACTGGCCCACGCTGTGAATGCATGCTCCCACGCACTGAATAAGGCCAACCCACGGTTCCCAGAGGTGAGGAGCGAATGGTAAATTCTCATTCCCCAGATTTTTTGGTGTTACACATATGTTTTGTTACTATAAAATGTGCCGCACCCTTTGAAAGAACATTATATAGTCTGTATGAGTCTCTGCCAGAAGCTTATGGTAAATTTGTGGCCAAATTTTTCTTTATTTTTCTTTTCCTGCCATTTCCCCATTCCTGCTCTTAAATCTCTTCATTTTTTTCTTTTTTCTTTTTTTGAAGATTGGCATTTGAGCTAACATCTAGTACCAATCTTTTTTTTTTTTTTTCCTTCTTCTTCTTCTCCCCAAAGCCCCCTAGTACATAGTTATATATGCTAGTTGTAGGTCCTTCTAGTTGTGGCATGTGGGATGCCGCCTCAGCATGGCTTGATGAGCAGTGCTAGGTCAGTGCCCAGGATCCAAACTGGTGAAACAGGGGGCTGCTGAAGCAGACCGCACGAACTTAACCACTCCGCCACAGCGCTGGCCCTGCTTCATTTTTTTCTATTTCACTTTCAATCGCTTGTCACCTTGCCATCTTCCTTCTGCTGCTTCTCCTTTTAACTACAACCATTCCTCCTTATTTCTTCTTTTACTTTCTCCCCTGCACCTTGATATAGGTATTGTGTGTTTTATAAAAGACGTTCATTCATTTTTGAAGTTGTGCACTAAAATTATTCTTACTTCATTTTGTTTCACTAAATTGGTAAATTTAGTAAATTTTTTAATGTAGAAGTTAAATTTTTATAACTTCTGTACATTTTTTGATGTAGAAGTTAGTAATAGAATGGATAAAATATAACTCTCTTGAAATGTGATACATGGTACAAGGCTTATAGACAAAACTGATGGCTTGTTTTATTCTTTTAATTATTCAACTGAAGTTAACTAAATAAATATACAAATAAATGCTAGTGCTCAAGATTGAAGTCTGAAAAACAATCTGGTTGGAACTTCTGAGAGTGAACGTCAGTGGATTGAACTAATTATGATCAGATAGCACCCCTTTAGGACATAATTTTCTTTGACCGAACTTTTTTATGGGAATATGTAAATGTTGTTGCCAGCATATATGTGTTTGTATGTAGGAGATGTGGTCCTGCGGGTATTCCTATAGCCAGTGCATTCTTTTGGTTCTGTGATAGAAGAGGTAATCATGCTAACAAATGTGAGTGTGAAATTTTGCAATTATAATAGAATTTTGGTAGATTTTAAAAGTGTTTGTGACGTGAATTTAAATTAGAAGAATAAAATTTGAAGTATTTGCTGATGACTGAATCCCAATTTAATACAGAACTACTTGTCTTGATGATCTTGTTTTTTTTCTAGAGTCTTACAAGAGACACTGCCACTGAAATAGCCATCAATGTGAAGGCACTGTATAATGAAACAGAATCTTTACTAGTTGGCAGGGTTCCTTTGGTAAGGAAAAGAAATGCTTGCTAACTTAAGAATGATGATAAATGTATGGGCCTTACCTTCATTCGGGAGCATGCATTCATCAGATTCTAGGGCAGAAGCACGCTTCTGGCCTCCATCCTTACAGCTTCCTTTTTACCTAGCTTTTGCCTTCAAGAAAATATATGGCTGAACCTGGGAGTTAAGATTCAGGCTAACAGGAGTAGAGATCCCCCTCACATATGCCATCGTGTTTCTGTGCAATCCTGCCCGCCCCAGTCAGCTTTGAGAGACTTGAGCTTTTTAAAGTGTGGTAGACATTACTCATTAGCTCGTTATTACAGCAAAGTGGAGGAAATCATAGGTTTTGTTCCCAGAATTAACATTTGAGATATGATTGGTATGGTTCTCTAGATTTGCTTAAAAGACAACACTTTTTTAGACTCAGTGTTTCAAGAACTAGCCGTATCATTAGATTAACTCAGATTGGTGCTGGAAATCAAGATTTGGCCAAGTCTGAATCTGACCACAGTCCGTGGACCTCAAGCATAACTCCTAGAAGTCCACAGATGTCCTGTTTGGTTTTCCCAGAGTCTTTTGCTTGTCAGCCTAGCTTTATTCCCTCACCATTTGCAAATGTTGTAGTTTATTGGGTCTTTTCGCCACCTAGTGTTCAACTGTAGGTTATTCACACATGCTGTTGTAACTGCATAGAAAGCCTAACGCATTAGCTATTTTTTATTTCCTTGTGACAGTTCTGATTAATTGATAGGTGGTGATCTTAAAAACTTTCTCTTGACTGTACTTCTATCTCTTGCTTTGGAAAATGTACACCTAAATGAAAGTAATAGTAAGAGTGACAGTACCTGGCACAGCTGGAAAATGGAGGTGTGTCACATAGCCAACTAACTCATAAGTGACTGTGGTTGGAATTTCTGTTTGGTTGGGGTCCGGCAGAGTACCACCCTTGGAGCATGCTTCACTCTGAGAAGAGAAGCTTAAAGGCTGAATGAAGTCCATTGCTCTCACTCCCCTCCAGAGGAAACTGAAATACAGCTTCCTTGGGGCAAGAGGTGGTTTGCTATGGCCATGAAGAAAAGCTTAGGAAGAAACACTGGTTATCTCTTTTGATAAAACGCATGGGAACATCTTCTTGGCTATTCTTGGCACTTCTGTTATTAACCAGAATCTTCTAGCTGCCCTTCTAATATAAATTAGTCCTTTAGGAAATCCAGTGAGCTGTGACTTTGGTCCCAGTTTTTGGCTGAAGGACATGTATTTTTTGAAATATATTTAAGATAATTTCTGATTGTCAAGAACTAGAAGTATAACTTATTCTGTATTTTAGCTCTCTATACTGTAAGTACCCATTAATATTTGTCAATTATATTATGTTAATATAGAAGGACCCCCTCCACTTTTAATCCTTCTGTCATTGTCACATATGGATGTTTGGTTTAAAATGCACACCAGTGAATTTTTTCAAAATCTTTGACAATATTGATATCAAAATAAAGAGTTGATCACAGTTGAGAGCGAGTAAGGTTTGCTTTTTATTTTGCTTGTAGAATGAATATGCAAAAACCATCTTATCAATTTTATAAGACATATATTCTTAGACTAAAAGGAAAGTGGTAAATTTTATATGACAGGGTAGAGAATCTCCATATTTTTATTAACTACAAGAAATAGTAGATACCTTGAATAACAGAGGGAAAAAAATAATGCCTGTAATAGATAATAGCAATATTCTCTCTGAACTTTCAGTTTAAAATTGTATGAACCCAAATGTTGGTATTTTACAGTTTTAGACTAATTTACAAAAGTATTGATTACCTGGACGAGACCTTAAAATAATCTAGTTACATTTTACTGTTTATTGAAGAGGAAACTAAGACTCCTGAAATCAATTAACCTCCCTGAGTTGCTTAGTTATTGATAAGACAAGGACTGGAATTCAGTCACCTCCCTTCCAGTTCTGTGCATAACAGTATTTATTTCACTTTTATTCATTTATTAAATTTGTAAGTGCTTTTTAATAACTGCCCCAAAGGGGTGGATAATAGGTGACCAGTTAAATTCTCTTTAAAGTTCCCAAACCCTCTGATTACAAGCCGTTTAGCTTTTTGCTTTGTCCTGATTTTACAGCAGCTTATCATCACAAATTTTTCTGAGGTTTGTGGGTGTCTTTTCCTTAAACTTTTAATTTTAATCCTAAATTATTTTAATTCTCCAAGAGATTTTTGTGCCAAGTGGTTCTTATTATATGACATGGTTTTGGCCAATTTTTAAAATATTATTATTTGTTCACATAGTGACCTATGTAAATCAGAAGGATTTTTGCGACAAATAAGCAGACTAATGAGATTACTCACTAGTGCAAGCAGACAGAATGAGTGGGTGGATGCATGGATAGGAAGGAAGGGGGGGAAGCAAGAGGGAGGGAAGAAAGGATTTACATAGAAAAAACACCAAAAGCAATACTTTTTTCTGTGAAATTACTAAAGTCTTAGATTATCTTTGGGAAGTAAGGATAAATCTATCCAGATGTTTTTATAAATGAACTCAGTATAAAATAATTTGTTACTTTTTCTATATTCCTTTGTATTAAAAACAACAACAACCTCTAGCTTAGCCTGATAAGGGAGAAAGATGTTCACTGTCAAAATAAAATAATTTATTCTGTTTGCGTTTGGTCGCTGAGCCTTGTTTTGTTTTTAATCTGCTGGTAAATAGCATTTGGAATCTCCACATGAAGAGCGGGTATCCAATGCCTTACATTCTGTGGAGGTGGAGTTACAGAAGTTAACAGAGATTCCCTGGCTTTATTACATCTTACACCCAAATGAGGACGAGGTATGTAAAATTTGGCCTCTTGCTTTATAAATGTGAACCTTATGACGATGAAATTTGAACTCATCTTTTGAAGCAAAGATATTCAGGGGAAAATGAATTTTGAACACCACTTTCAAAAGTACTGGTCTTGAACAAGCGAGAAAGGCTTTTATGTGAACAGAGATATCTTATGGGAATCAGTACATTTTCAGTAGAATGTAACATCGTGAACTTTTTTTGAAGAAGTCTCACTTCGACAATGTTTTGTTTTTATAACCTATTCCTGTGTTATCTCTAATATCAGAGTGGATTTTTCTTCTCTTAACATCCTGAGAAAATTCTTTTCTTGCTCGACTCGCACAGGAGCCTCCTATGGATTGCACCAAGAGAAACAACAGAAGCACAGTATTTCGTATAGTGCCAAAATTTAAAAAGGAAAAGGCTCAGAAGCAGAAGACAAGTTCACAGCCTGGTAGGTGATCCACACTGGAAGGGAAAGTATAACATTGTGGAAAAAATAACTTATGAAACTGATATCACTGAGGTGATGAAAACGTTCTGGAACTAGATAGTGGTCATCGTTGCACAACATTGTGAAAGTACTGAATGACATTGAATTGTACCCTATAAAATGATCAAAACGGTGAATTTTATTTTATGTTCACTTTATCATAATAGAAACAACCATATCATATATCTTACTAAAATCAGTCCACATATCCCCAGGAACCTGTAGTTCTGAAGCGCACGGGCAAATGGGGTGGTTGCTGATGTCCTTCAACTTTGTTTGGAGGACGTCAGTGTGTCTGTTTGGATGGTTCGTTATCTTGCTCAACAGCAATTCGAGGCATTGACATGTAACTTTTTTATTCAAAGTTCAAAATCTAGATCATTTTGATAAATGGAACATAGAAACTTTCCTTTACTCCTTTAACTTGCTAAATATATTTTCCACCTAGAGTTCTATCTTCTCTTCCTGCTGTTTTAAGGACTTACTATACCGTTTCAGCCCCTCAGTAATGACAGTCTGCTGTGACACTTGTGTTCTCAAGCAAAGGTTAAACTCTCTCTGACATTGTCTTCGTGGTTCCCTTTCCACCTTTCCCTGAGGTTAAATTTAATGCTGTACTTTGTGCTAAAGCACCTTCAAGTTCTGTGTGTATGATGGTAGGTGCCTTTCACAGTCAGATCACTTTGTAATTCTTCTGAGTTAGCTATCTCACTTTAAAAAGTGATAGATAATCTTATTTTTGACAATCTTAGAACGGCTACTGAAGGGCATTTTAAAACCAAATATGGAAAATAAGTAGACTTTTATTAACCTGATCAGTGCTGAATAAAATGTATAAAAGAATGCTTATGCACACTGAAAAGTAGCCATCCAGCTAATCTTAGAGAGCAGGGTGGACAGTTTTTAGATGACGTTAAGTTGATTTAACAGAACATTTATTGCTGTAATTATCAATAATTATCATTATCAATAGTAATAGAATCAATAAAGGCGACACTTGAAGTCAAGACCTGAAGCAGAAGTTTGTATAAAATTGAGTACCCCACATGTCAGATTTTAAATTTGAATTAGCATTTGTCACTAATTAAACTATAACTAGTTTCATATATGGTCTTAAGGAAATCATTAGACCTTATTTAGTCCTTGTGCTACTGATCCTAATCATGAGAAATACCTTTTGTATACATATTGTGTAGTTCGGGTGGCTTTAAGGAAGAAATTGCGCTAAAGCTAAAGGCACAGTTGCCCAGCGGGGAATGTCTGTGTAGTCAGATCCTTGTGTTGGTTGATAGTCTGTAACCTGCATGGGAAAAAAATGGAATTGCAGTTTTGTTGAAACAACGCCTTTCACCTTTCCCTTTGCTAGCACTGCTGCTCTCCTCTGTTTTGCATCTTCTTTGGCCAACCTTTGCTTTGTGATGCATTGAGCATGTAGAAATTAAGGGGGTTTTGCTCTTAACTTTGGTAGTTCAGAAATGGGGCACAGAGGAAGTTGCTGCTTGGCTGGATCTGCTCAATTTGGGAGAGTACAAAGAAATCTTCATCCGTCATGACATCAGAGGGGCTGAACTTTTGCATCTGGAAAGGCGAGATCTTAAGGTATTTCCTTTGTGCTACTCTTCTGCTCTTGAAATTTTTCTTGCAAAACAGAATCCTTTCTCCTGTGCCTCTTCTGTTGTGTGTGTATAGCTTGGCTTATGTTATGCAGATGTGCAGTATTCTAACATGCGTTGTCCTGTGGTCTGAGTTCCTTATATGCTTTTTAAACAAGAATGTCAGCCGTATTTTCCGGTCAGAATTATTCTCTATTATGGCTAGAGCTTAGCATGAACTTTGTAATTTTCCTCTGCATCCATTGGTATGGCTGTTCCTATGCTAATATTTCCAAATGGATCATGTTTCCATCAGCTTGTCTATTGGATCAGCATAAAAGGTGATAATTGTTACTGAAAATGACTAAAAAGATCTAATAAAAGGTTAACAACTAAAAATTAATTCAAAATACCTATAACAAAGCCTTTCTAACAAATGGAACTAATTGGGCGACTTATGGCGGTGGCTACTTAGAGTCCTACAATTTTGTTGCGTTTCTAAATTGACTTTCAGAGGTCACACAAACTACACCAATAATTTCAAATTTCCTTTCCATGACTTATTGCTAGAATTGTATTATTCTCAAAAGGAAATTTATTATTTTCGTTAGCAAATGAAGTAAAAATTATGCCTTGCTTTTGCTAGAAAAGCAGCTCAGAGCCTATTCGTCATTTATGACAGAGAAGGAAAATCATTAATTCACGGTCTGCAGCAATTCCCTTTTAATCAAGAGTAGAAATGGCCAGAGTAGCCTATTCTGTCCCAGGCTTAGGAGTAGGATTTTTGTCATGTTATATTTTCTTACCACATGCTGCCATTTTAAAATTCCAAGATTGATTGACAAGCAAGTGACAAAGGCTTCAACGTTTGTTGAGGTGATCCCTTTCCTGTAGACCAAGTTCTCAAATGCATAGAATTATGATATAGCAAATTCCTAACGAATTCATGAACTGTTGTGCCTTTATCTACAAATATGTTAGCAGAGATCTTTGAACAGATAATGGGTAATATAAAGTATAGGTTTTTATGAAACATAGTCATACAGTTTTGGCATATCAAAAGTGGACACCACTTACACCTAAACATTTTTAGCCATAACAATAATAATAAAATAATAGATTAATTAATTAGTTGAGCATCCCAAATCTGCAACATAACAAAATATACAGGATTCGAGTTCATAAAATAAGGGTTGACTTCAAAACTTGAATGCACAAAAAAAGATAAATGTAGGAGATTGTTATAGCCAACATATTTGTGTAGCTTCTGATATCGTTGGCAGGTAGCAATATTTATTGAATAGCTACTGATTAATATATTATGCCAGCTTCTCTGGGTGATATCTGCACTCTAGAAGCTTGTATTTCATTATTATGCATAAGCATATATTCAAGGAAAAGACTATATGTGTGTATGTAAATATATATGTATATATATATGTGTATATACAAACATACATGAACAGACAAATACACACACACACACACAATGAGTGAAGCAAATATTTGCAGAACGAAGAAAATAAGCTCATACTATATTAAGTGAGAGTTAGAGTGATATTACCTGGCTGGAAAAAAGAGTAAGAGTAAAAAGGAGATGGTTAAGAATTCGTTTAATAAACTTTCTCTTTAGCTTTTCATGGGACTTTTTTGTTATGTTTTGTTTTTATTTTTAATACAAATTACATTCTTTCCCTTAAAACTTTTCTTTTAGAAATCTGTATTGACATGGTCCTTTTTAACTCTTTTGGTTTTAAAACAGGGTGTGGGGGAATGGGAAAGGGAAATAATTTTACAGAAAGAGCCTTCTGTAGGACAAAATCATGAAGCAAGAGAAGAAGTCTGCTTGTTCTCTGTGGTTGTAGCTGTCAGAGGGAGCAGAGCCTCAGAATAAAGTCTCGAAATGTTGGTGAAGCATTACCTACTCCGTAGGTAATCTCATCAATCCCCATTGCTTCCAATACTGTCTATGAATATATCGGTGGTTCACAAGATTGTATTTCCAGCCCTGACCTCATTTGTGAACTTTAGGGTTTATCACCACCTCTCCTTGATACTTGGCTCTCCCACAGGGATGTCAATCTTAACATGTCCAAAACCAAACTTTGATCTCGGGTCCCTTCTCCAGTGCTCTGCATCTTAGTAAGTCAGCCTCTCTCCCTCCAGGTGCTGAGCCAGAGAAACTCAAGGTCATACTTAGCACCTCCCTCTTCCTTATCTTTTTCCCCCAAACTCATTAAGCCCACCACAAAGTCAAGTTGATTCTAATCTCCGTCCATTTCTTTCTCCTTTCCACAATCCCGCTCCGTGCTGTTGTCACCTGTTGCCTGTGTAAGGTCAGTGGCTTCCTAACTGGACCTTCCACTGCTCCTCTTGCTGCCTCCCATCCATCACCCGCATTGCAACCAGAGTGATATTTTAACATCAGCTATATCACTTTTCTGCTTAACACCTTTCAGTGTCTTCCCATTTCAATTAGAATAAAGACTCACATCTTCGTGAGGCCTACAAAGTTCTGCCTATTTATTCAACTGCTGTGGAATCACTGGCCCCTCGCTGGGCTATACCCTATCCACCCTGGCCTTATGTCATTTGCTTAAAAATGCTAAACTCTTTCTCACCTTAGGGGTGTACCCTTCTATGGTTTGCTTCTCCCCCTCCCCAACACCTGGCTGACTCCTGCTCAGTCTTGGCTCAGGTGTAACTTCCTTTTCGCTAAAACAACTAGAGAGAGGAGTGTGACAGTCTAAAGCTGGGAAAGGGAAAATGTGCAGTAATGTGCTCTCACAGACAAATAAACTGATTGCATTCTTTTCCTTCTTGGAAGACAGTAGGAGAAAGTGAGGGATGCCAAAGAAAGTGGTAAACACAGAGTGTTTTTTGTTTATTTTTCATTTTTTCAATTTGGAAAGTTGTGTGGCCACAGGGATAACTGAATATCTACAAAGCATCCTTCTGCAAAACTAGGCCTATTCCTCCAAAGAAAGAAAAAACCAATGATAAAGAATATGATTAAGACATATTTAAGAAAGAGATAACAAATGTCATGGCATCACTTTATCACAGCCTAACTCTTAGAAGATGTGAAAGTATTGAACTCAAACTAAAGAAAATATAGCTAAGAAGTTAGTGTAATTCTATGGAAAACATTCATCTCATTACACCAAAATACTAATTCTAAGTAGAGTCTGCCTCTCTCAAAGGAGTTTTTATTCTTGAGAATATAATATGCATATGGTCTAAAATAAAAAATTTAATATTAAATATATTTCTTGACCAGATAACCATGTTATCACAAAATAAAAAGAATATTTAAATATTCCACTCAAATCAAAGAATCTAAATGCAGCAGTACATGTATTTACATTTCAAACGTAGGTGGCAGGCACTGGTGACTTCCTGGAGGATGTGGCCTTGTTAAGTTTGCTATTTTAGCACACACTCAGGAAATACATAGTCGCCTTAGAGTGATTGTGGATGGTCTGGTATCATATGAGAAAATATTTTTCTGGCTCAGTTAAATATTATGAAAATGTTTCTCTGAAATTATCTCAAGTTTGAAGATAGCACTGGCTATGTTTCAAAGAGTAGTTTCCAGAAGGATTCAAGATCATCAGTAGCCTTGCTGCTATAAAATTCAAAGAGTTCATAAAGTATATGGGAGAGAGAGAGCATGGATTTGTGTATGTGTGTGTAGACAAAAGAGTCTAATCTATCTCATTTAAAAGTTTAGAAATAAATAATGCTCTTAATTTACAAAACAGGGTAGATATTTTGAATCTTTATATTCTCAAGTAAATAATCTTGTGGTACCTTATAATCCTGTTTTCTGTGCTACTTTGGAAGTCATCTTTTAAGTAATTTTCACATATTTCAAACTCTGTTTTGTAAAGAAGTGATTTGACTTCACATATAAGCAAACCGATTATGTTTATCACACTTAAAGAAGCCCTGGTGTTTGGGCTTAACCCTTTCTCCTAGTTTTTCAGATAGTGAATATCTGGCTTTCTTGGATGTGTTTCATTCATTCCTGCAAAGAGTATTTATTTGCCAGGTACTTGCTATGGGCTGCACCCTCTGAAGTCACCATCCATATCTGAAAGTTAAATATTGAATTCTTGGTTCTTTATAGGAAGATAGTTCTTAAGAAACAAGAAGAGTTCTGAGGGAAAGGAACCAAAAGTGTTTTGAGGAAAAGCATCAACCCACAGATACTTAAGTTTCAGTAATTTTTACACTTATACGTTACAAAGTATAAAGAACATTTAAATATTCCACTCAAATCAAAGACTCTAAATGCAACTGTAAATACAGTTACGTTCTAAATTTAGGCAGTGGGCACAGATATCTTCCGTTAAGATTAAGCCTTACTTTTAAGTTTAACATTTTAGCAAGGAAATGTATAGTTGCCTTAGGACTAATTGTGGATGCCCTGGTGTCACACATCACTTTTCTCAGAGATCCCAAAAGGACCTGTGTTTAAAAAAAAGGAAGAAGAAGAAAAAGAAGAAATTCATTTTGACTCTTGAAGAACTGCCATTGTATGTAATTTGTGAGACTGTTACATTTAAGAATTTGTGTGGCATGTGATGTTTCACTGGTTGGTAATTTTTCAATGTCAGGTTATTTTTATTTTATAATCTTATTTTTCTAGCTTTCACTTCCTGAATCATTGAATATAAACTAAAATAAATGAACTGATTGTTAATTATGTTATTTGCTAGTTAAATATTTAATTCTCTTGGCAATAAACTTCTTTGTCTTCTTTCTTTTTGCTTTCTCTCTTTCTACCTTTTATTCTTTTTTTAGGACCTGGGGATACCGAAAGTGGGTCATGTGAAGCGAATTCTCCAGGGAATTAAAGAGCTCGGAAGAAGCACTCCCCAGGCTGAGGTGTAATCATACTGGTGCTATTCCTTGCAAGGGAAGTAATCGCTACTTAATACAAAGTTCTTGAAGCAATTGGCTAGTCTTGTAGTTTTCTCCCTAGCTGAGTAAGCACCACTGAAGCACCTCTATGGCTCGATATTTTGCTTTGGGTGAAAATTTTGATTTGAGATCGTAGAAAATATTTTGTGCCAAAAAAATACATTCCATGAAGCCATTTTCTTATTGTGCAGATAATATGACATGTTCAAATATGCTTATATTAGTAAGAAGGAAGGGGGAATCTGAGACAATTGCATGGTCTAAAAGGTGGAATTGCAAGATGTTTACTTTCCTTAAATTTGTCAGATGGAATGTTCTTACCGTGCAACTGCATAACAATATGTGGCTCACACTTCTTAGGTTTTGTTATTGGAAGCGTTGACTTCTTCCTTAAATTATTGGTTAGGAGACTAGGATGTAAATTAAGTTATATTTTGAATGTTATATTGGTATCACCTCAGATTCCTAGCACTCAGTGGTCAAAGAATATGGTTCAAACCCCTCAAATACTATGAATGAATGCAAATCTTAATGCACGATGTTTCTGCCTGAATTATCTTTCTTTCTCTTGCATGTCACATCTAATATTGTAACACTTAGCTTTAGTGTCAGTTTTAATGGAGTTTAATTTATTACTACCTAAGTACCTTTTTGTTGGCTAAAGGCACTTTTCTATTCTTTGATGTGGAATTTTGCATAAATATTCTGTATCTTAGAATTTGTGAACATGTGTCTGTGCCATAATCAACAAATGATATACATCTTATGCAAGCCAATTTTATGTCAGCCTATCATAAACAGTAGGTGTGCACATTAAGAAAATTCTCTGGATATTTTCATAAAATTACATGTTCTTTTGCCTAACAAAACTTATTCTAGCTTTCCAAGCCAAAATTCCCACATTTTGTTCCTATTTTTCACTTCAATTTAATAATTATTTAATACTTTGTTTGCATTTGTAATATAGTAGACTGTTGACATCCAGGAATTTCCCCCGGATCTTAGCTGGGAACTGTGTACTGACTGGGCCACCCATGAGCTAAAGTGACTCCTGACATGAACTTCCCAACAAAAGAGATTTAAAATTTTTCTTAAGGGCTTCACATTATTATTATTATCTCACTTATTTATATCCTATCGGGTAGATACTATTTTTCTTTTTCTAAACCGCTGTACTTCAGCATAGCTCATTAGGAGTCAACATTACAATGATCAAATCTTTGAAAGCCAAAGGCATACATATCAAAAAGTCACAAAAATATCCTTAAATAAGCTTTCTTTAGACATTATATACCAAAAATATTAGCTATAATGTTGAAAAATCTTCTCTATAAGAGACATAAACAGGGTACTGACCCAGTGGTGACAATTTTCATAAAATAGCCTTCTAGGTAGGTGCTCAATAGATATACACACACACCTATATACATATACACATATGTGTATATACACAAATACTCATTTAAATGTATATTCACACTTATGTACATGTAGTCTTGAAATATACTCTCATTGATATTTTCTAAACAATTATTTGCCGAATGCTTAAAGAGAAATATTGATGGGAAAGCATTGAAAATGAACTCTTGTCAGACATATGATTATATCAAAAGAGTTCAAATATTTGACACTTTATTCTCATTTATAACTTGGTTATTTAACTACTAGTATCATCACAAAACTTAGATATCTTAAAAATAAATGAACCTGATGGGTTCCTGACCAAGGGTTTACCTAAGTTGTGAATAAATGGAGATTTTCCAAAGGGAATCATATCAAGTAGCTTAAAAGAGTACAGAGCTACTCACTTAATCATTTTAATGTTACCCACACCTATGAAATCAAAAGTCTTCATTTCCAGTTCCTTTTGTAGTCCCCACCCTGCAGCACGTCCTGCACTTCCGGGCACTTCTCTGTGAAATCAGAATATGAGGTGCCGGATTCTCGGAGCTCTTCTCAGATCACAGCCCCCTGTCCAGCTCCACCAACAAAGGAAAGGGTGGGGCAAGGAGGCGAGGAGCTCTAGAGAAGAATGAATTAATGTAAAAATCTTTATTGGTTTTTACTCTCCCAAAATACCCCTTTGCCAATAGAAAAAATTCTCAAGCTATTACGTGTTTAGAATTTAAGACTAAGATGTAAATGATTGAATTTTTTTTTGTTTGATGTTGATCTTTCACTCTCAGGTAACATCTTTTTGTATGCTGTAAAACCTCACTTAATGGAATCCTTAGCTAGAATTTTCCTGCAAGTGGCTTTTGGATGAGGGAAATCCTTTAAAATGGCAATTTTGATATCTTTCTTTTGTTAAATGAGAGCAGTTTTTCCTGTACACTTTGTCTAGCATGGCTGTGTGGGACCCAAATGACTTCACTTACCAGGTTTGCCAGGACAGAGCCCTCAGAGTCTCCTTAGGGCCCTGTCAGCGTCACAGAGGAGCCAGCTTCTTATAGCAGATGGGGTTACAGAAAAGGGAAGAGCTTCTCCATGGATCTGATCACAGCTCTGGGGAGTGCCCGTGGGGACTGTGTGCCTTGCTTCACACAAGCTGAGCTGAGAAGCTCAAGCCTGCTCCTCATAGCCAGGTCTCACCTTCCCTCCCCATTAGGCTCTCCCTCTCCTTGATAATTCGGGAGGGGAATCACAGCCAACATCCACTTCCTTTCACTCTCATTTTCCTGAGGAAGAACTTACTTTTCAAGAAGGAAAGGAACACAGTCAGGCCTAAGTAAAATTTCAGAGTACTCAATTTTTCTCTTCGGTGTCTTTCCACCTCCCTTTCTGAGTTCCGTTTCCGCTTCCTGGCTTCCTGTTTTCCCACATGCCCAATACACTGGTGGTTGCTCACATTCTCACTGCTGTGTGCTACCCTTTCCTCAACTTTCCCACTACAAAATTACTCCTTTCATCTCCCCGCCTTAGCACCCGTTGTGGGTCATCTAGTGAAGTGTTAGGAATAAAACAATTTAAAGAAACTAATTTCACAGTTTGCATTTTATAAAAGGAAATGTGCTAATCTAAATGAATTTATGGATTAGATAATTTGGAGGCCATGATATATATTGACATCATATATATATTCCTCTGGCTGAGAAGAGGTGACCCGTGAATGTCTAGATCTGTGCTGTCTAATATTGTAGCCACTAGCCACATGGGGCTATTTAAATATAAATTTAATTAGAAATTTAATTTCTCAATTATTAGCCACATTTCAAGTGCTCAGTAACCACAGTGGACAGTACAGATATTGAACATTTCCATCATTGCAAAAGTTCTACTGGATAGCACTGGTCTAGATCATTGTTGTGGTCCATGGACCAGCAGCATCTGTATCACCTGGGAGTTTATAGAAATGCAGATCTCTTCAAGACCTACTGAATCAAAATTTTCCTTTTAACGGGATTCATTAAGTTATTAGCACTGGCCTAGATTTGTTTTATCCCTCCTAGATATTAGGAATCTGAGGTCTTCAAAAGGTCCTCAGAATAGCTCACTGCCCAATCCATTGTTTCCTATCCATTCTCCAGCTAATCCCAGAAATGAGCTGAAACTCATTTATCACTCCAACTGAGCTTCCTTCTCAATCATTATTCCTATTTCTGGTTCCAGATGAGCCCTACCTGCCCGGTTGTTATGTTTTAGTAGCTAAGGTGGAATACAGGAGATTGGCTGACCAGCACAGCTGGCCTTTCTCCAACCCTTCATCCCACGTCTACGTCACAAATATCTCCATTTGCTCAGTTTGCTGCTCATGTGGCATCCTCATTTGTTCACAACTTAAGTCACAAGGAACATTTCAGAAGAGTATGTACTGAGGTAAGACGGGGTCAGTCTCCTACCACTTGTACATTTTCACTTTCTCTTACATCTTATCAGTAGATTATCCTGTTGACATAGTTCATGCTTGAGAACACACAGCAGCGCACATGCATTACATGAATCATTAGGCATGCAAAAAAGAAAAAAGAACTGAAATGATTACAAGTAAAGTGAATGTGTCGTCAAAGCCCTGAAAGAGGGCACGTTTTGCTAGACTAAATGTTTTTCTTATTACGCTAACTTATCTTGATTTTCAGATAGTTAATAATTCATTAAAATAGTGCCTGAAAAATAATACATCATATTCCTGATCCTCAAAATACAAATTACTTAATTCTGTAATAAGATCTTTCCCAATGACTTATTGTCAATAATCCTTCACTTAATAATTTTTATATATTGATATAATTTACCAAAACATGACTGCCTAGAGATTCTTTAGCTGATTTTCATGAATAAAGTGGGCACCGCCTTAATCTTCAAGGAAGTTGTTTTTAACAGGAATTGAGGAAGGAAATATTCATGCAAAGCTGTGACTTAGAAAATTATAGTGGAAGCCTCTATATATCGTTTTTAACGTAAATTATCTATTATCTCTGACTGGGCTGACGACATAATGGACTTTCACTTATACAGATATGAATTCTTTACAGATATAGCTTTTCATTAAGCTATAAAAACATTGCATCTCTCAACCCTGACATCTAGGTTCTCTCCTGCTGCCTCCCCCCAAAATGGACTTATCTTGCATTTCTCAGATGCAAGTTGAATAAAACAGTGGGTTTAGAGATTGATGATACAAGTGGCAGTTTTAAAGCACCGAATTCCTTAAATCAGCTGAGAAGCATGAGAAGTGAAGATTTCTCAAATACTATTGGTCAATGGAATAGCCTCCCCAAGCGGTTCCCACTGGGCTTGGCTGCCACGCCTCTCTCTCTCCTGTCACTGCCCTACGCCAAGTGCCACGGGGCCTGGGACTTGTTCGTCTCTGCCATGACATCTCCACAGTGACTTTTGTATAGCAGTCTCTGTGTCAGAGAAATAATGTTGCCTTTGCAATAGGATGCCTTCCTAAAGAAACAACCAGAACTTTACAAAGGCAATGACTATTGGTTTTTATAACATGCAAAGCATTAATTTTTTAATCTTCGTTACTATTTTCTCTTTATCATTTTCTCCAAGTTTTGTTTAGGGATATTTCTGTTAGAAGAAAAAACTATAAAGGTGTATCACTATGGAGAACAGAGAGATAAAAGACAGCTGGACTGTACCTATTTGTATACTTCCTTCTGTTATTTTCAGGAAAAGAAGTTTAACAGAGTAACTGAGACTGCGTTAAACTCAGTAACGATGTTTCAGAAAAACCCATATTACTAATATAGATGAGCAGATTAATTCCTTGTATGTAACTAAGATATTCTATTTACATATATTTATATCCTCTCAATTTTTTTATGCACTTCCAAGTTTTAGTTGGAAAAATAGAAACCAAGCCACTATTTAAAAGTTAGAAAACGCCACATAAAATACTTCATTTTAGCTACAAGTTATTCATTGTATAGGAATTTATAAATAGTCTGAGTATTTCATAGGAACTGCATTTCAAGAATAAATTAACCAAACCTCAGAGAACTTAGGGTTACTTTTAAAATACATTAAAATAAGTTTCGTACTCAATCAATACTACCATTGAAGTTGGATAATGCAGTTAGATATACAAGCTAAAAAGGAAAAAGAATATATTTTGTGGTTCTTACTGTTTGATTGCACTACGTTTACCACAGCTTAGCCATATCTACTTCTGTAGTCTAAGTATTAAGCTGATATGTAGCTAAAGATTTCTTACAGTTCTGGTAACTGGTAACTAGTGCTGTGAAAGGTTTTCGTATTGTAACATTCCCAGTTTTGTGAGCTATATATTGTATATTGAAGATGACTAATAAATTGGAGTAATATATTTATCTAGAGCTGGGAAAATGTGATAATTATTTTCAAATCTTCAAGTAAGTTGTATCGAATTTTTTTCTTCCTCGTAAGTGAGATAAAAGTCTCACCTTTATGTTAAAATGTCTATTTATACAACAAGTTTCTCCTTTCACTGGGTTTATTAATTTTCATATTAAAATTTTTCTTATCTTTTTATACCAAAATAATTATCATGCTGGTTGTTCAAACTGCCAAGGTGTATTTTTGTTTGCAGAACTTTTGGCAGCCAGGATATTTAATAACAAACCAGCCTTGTGTATTTTGTGGCTTTGGGGGCAAGAATTTTACCTTTAAATTTCTATGTGAGGCAGGGCTGATAACAGCAAAATCAGTAATAGACAGTATTACTTACAATCATCAGTAGAAGCTTTTCACAAGTTGTATAAATCAGTGCATTTATTTATTATGTTGTGAAATTTAATCTTTATACAAAATGCATCTTCTAGCTCTTTGCTTCGTTACTGCTGTTGCTTAGAGTGTAATAGCTCCGTTGATGATTTACTTACATACTTGAAGCACTCATTTCTGTCAAACAGATGCCCAGTTTTTTCCCTTGTAAACATTGTATTCTTTACCATCATAGAAACTGAAAAGGAATAGGGACTTTGTTAAAAAATAATTTTAATGTTTAAAATAAATATGGAAAAAGGCACAAAGCCAAAATGAAATCATCAACATTAAGAATTTAATGTAGCCAAAGGATTCGTTGTGCTCTATTTTGCCAATATATATTTTATCTTCAAGTCAGAACTTCTTTTCCGTGGTAAATTTTCAATTTTTGTTGTAAGAGAGATCTCAGTGGTTATGCTGCTAATGTGACGTTCAAACGAACTTTAAGAATCGTGAACCCCCAAAATACGACATCCCTCCAGGGGTGGGCTCTGGGATCCCAGGGTGTGTGTATTGTGAACACCTCTGCATTTGACTCTGGGCTTCTTGACTCATGGTAACCATGATGGATGATGGTTTGTCTGTGTGTTTCTGTCAGTTAAGTCAATGGGATTTTCATTGAGTTTTGAATTATTTCTGCTTAAAAATATTCGCTATTAAACTGTTTAAAAGACTGAAAATTTACAACATAATGGGACAACATACCACACAGAATAAAATCACATGTTTTTGAGGAGGGAAAAAAACCACTCTGACGTAACATGAGGCTGTATTGTATACCAAAGAAATCACTTTAACAAGCCTCAAATTGGCTGTTCTATTGTTTTGTAGTATAAGCAGTAGATGAATTGTGAACTATTTAAAAACTATAGTAGGAATTAAGAATTAGTTTACTGTAATTTTACAGACATAGAGTTTTATATTGATTTTACTGTCGCAACAGCAATTATTGAAGGCAGGAAAAAATATGCATGAGAAATATTGTATGGAAATTAAAGGGAAAAGGAGCTTGAGTTGGTAATTTAGAAATGAATACTTTGCACATAGGTATCTTTCACCTTCTATTATAGAAATGCAAAACATGTGTGAGATGTATGATAGGCACAATACCACAAAAATTAAAAAATGCCACACTGGTGAGGTCTGAAACTGTATCTGTATCTTATCCAAAAATCTGGTCATTTTAGGAAGCCCATTCTACTGTTGAAATTTAGAAGTCAGTTAAGCAGGTAGTTGGATGACCTAACCGTTTGTGTTTATTACATGAGGCAAGTGTCTGTGCTTTCTCAACTGAGTGGTTTGTATAGTGAGAGCTAGTCAGAAGGGCTTAGCTAGTTCCTATAGACGAACTATGGTAAATGTAGATAAGACCACACCATGCAGACTAAAGAGATTTTCATGAACTTACTAAGCCTTGAACTTTGTTAGCAATTTTCCTTTATTTGAAACAACAAAAATTCATTAAAATTTACAATACTACAAATAGCTGAATTCTATGATTCTGGAGATGGAATATGGTTTAGGTTTATTGGGTTCCATAACTAACTTTGGCGCTAGCTCACTCTGTCCTTTCTACGAGCTATATCTTTTGGTGCCTCAGTTTTCCCAATTAGAAATGGCACACATTATCATCAATAATAAATACTTGGTAATTTTTCTTTTACAAAGAACCTATGTAAGTGTGAATTATACCTAAATTTCCCACTTCTTTCCCATGGTCATTTTTAGATATAAGGAAAGGCTTTGCTTTATAGGGAAAAATTGAAAGTCCGAATTAACGTCCCTTGAAGTTCATTTTAAAAATGAGAGTGAAGTTACATTAGTACTATCTGTACTAGAGTAGGTTATGGGTATTTTCATCTTTGTACTACAGGTTCATATTATTCATTTTAAGATAGACTAAAAACTCACTTCTAAAATCTTCAAAATTTTAGAGTAATTTTATTTTTCTAAACTTATCCCAGTCAACATTATATAGCACTGAATTTTTTTTTAAATTAAGACCTTCACATCTTTGCTTAGATTAAAAATGTCTCTTTAAATCAGTGGTTAAAAAAATAGAATATGAGACTCTCTTACCTTGTTTTACCCTGTGACATCAATTACTCTCTACACTAAGTGAATTCTGAATGGTTTCTTTGCTCTTCGATCCAAAGCATGGATTACTGGCTACATTCTCTGGCTGTGGAATGGTACTCCCTTCATGCAAAGTACCTTCAAACTTCCTGTAAAGAAAGTCAACTAGAGATTGTCTTAATTATTGCCATAATGGAAATCTGGGTACAATTAAGGGAAGTAAATTAGAATAACCTAGTTAAAATCATTAAATATAGATGGGAATAAAGGAATATTGACTTTATTTTTACCTGACATTTAGATTCAGTCAGTAGCTGATCTTTGACTTAAAGATTTCTTTGCTAAATCTGGTATTTATTATAGCATAATACGATAACTTGGAGCTTCTGTTGCCTCCCCTTCCCCTAAAAATGTTGGAATTATAAAAGGATGTAAGCTGCGTAAGACAAGGGGAAAGACTGAATTAGAATTCACTTGCATGATATTTTGTCTTACTGACACAACTTAGTTTTCATGATGGCACATGTCTAAATGATGATTCCAGAATGGTTTGATGCAGTGACTGGAAGAAATCATTTTTCTGGGAATTTGCTTCCCACCATGACCTGATATACGTACAGATGACCTTAGCCTAATTAAAATTAATTATAATTTTAATTAGAACCTGCCTGTTTACAGATTTCAATTGTGCAGCAATTTTTTAATATACATAATGGTCAGGATAGAAGAATTGCAAATTTGAGCAGTTCTTTCTTTTCCTCCCCTCCTTTTACTTGAAAAGCTTTCAGAAAGCTTTTGAGAGATGACGCAGGTTTCATAGCAACATTCTGTGATTATGTTCTTCTCCCAAGAAATTCATAAACTAAAATATGGAACAAAACAAATTCTTAATCCTAATCTTGTTTTGGATTGTGTAAGCAAAAGCATTCTATATATCATAGTCTTTTTTGTATGTATGCAGTTGCATATGTATTTCATTTTTTGTCCATCTCAAAAATTGGCATTTTAGGTTTTATTTCTAGTTAGTTGCAGTAAAGCAATTAATTCCATTGCCTTAATTCAGGCCCTTATCAGTAGAGACCTGCACTATTTTTCTCCCCTGTGCTTTTGCCATCGTTTTTCAGCAACTAGTTTTCCTACCTTCATTCTCTCCCACCTCTAGTCCATCTTCCACATCACTGACAGAGTGGTCTTTCTAAAGCACAAATTTACTTTGTCATGCCTTCGCTAAAAATTCTTCAATAGGCTCTCCTTCTTTATAGCATAGCAACCTAATTCCTTAGGATGATGGATGAGGATCTCTATGACCTTGCCTCCTCCTGCCTTTTTTAGCATCTTCACTCACCATTTCCTCTAGAGACCTTTTGTAATCCAGAAATTTGGAACTACTAACAATTCAGTACCTTGGCATAATCACATGGTGTAGGTCAACTCATTCAAGACCCAGTTCAAATTTAACTTTCTGTGAAGCTCTACCTGACTTCCCCAGGCAGACTTAAGTATTTCATCCATGCTCCATAGTATTTTGAAATTTCTTCTGTTAAAATAACATCATAATTTAATATATATATGTGTGTATATCTATATCTATTACTCTCTCCCCCCACTGAATTTCTCTGTCTTTGTAGTCTTAATGTTTAGTTAGCACATAATAGGACTTTAATAAATGTTTTTGAATGAATGAAGGTAATATAAAACCAAAACTTCTCTATATTTTTATAGTTTGACAAATAAAAACTTAGACTTCACTGAGCGTCCACATGAGGGGTGTGTGTATTCATGAGCAGGTGGGCATGCATGCACTCTGGGCAAACCAACAGAAGATCAACAACAGAGAAGAGCAGCTGCTTTGTGAAGGATGATCATTTGTTAGCTGCTTATGAGAAATATTTGCCAAACCTGAATTCTTGTGTCTAAAAGGAGGCTCACAGAATTTTCACCTAACTACCAAATTTTTGTTTGTAATTCACAAATGTGCCCTAAAGGTTACCCTTCTCTTTTGCAGACCTTCAGTGTATGCCATCCACATAAACACATACACGGATTACTCACACAGAATAATGACTTGAGAAAGAATAAAACACAATAGTCAAGGTGAAAGTTTCTTCAAAGTAATATTCAGCCAGAGATATAGACTGAATTTGTGTGATTTCAGGTCATTTGTAGTTAATGATGATTGCGTGTTTTATGATGTAAATGTAGGAAGGCTTGTTTGCTACTGTTATCACTCCTTCCAGAACATAAAGATTAAAAACAGAATCTATTTTTCTTTTGTGATTCTATAAAACCTTTCTACCATGTCCCCAAATTATGATAAAGATGATCACAAAATGCTCTTTAAAACTTAATAATTTCTAAAATTAAATAGTGGTAAAAAATGCATGTAGTTAAATACACTCTCCCTTCACTCAATTGATGGATATTTTTCTACCTGCTCTATCCTTGGCATTTGATGAGATGCTGGGGATGCCAATAAAGTATAACTCTTATCTGTTATAGTTCAATTTGTTTTGCTAATTATTTTCCTACAGTCTGTTTACAAAATTGGGAGGACATTTTTTAAATCAGGTGTTTCTCAGGTTATTTCACAGAAGTGGTCTCCTTCCACCCAAAAAACTAACCAAATTCTCTATCATAAAGAATTAATCTCATTTTTATTTCCACAATTTTTTGTATTTTCAGATCAGCCACAAATAATCTTTGACTATCACTTGTCAAGTACATCTTTCATCAATCCTGTAGAACCCCATTTCCACAACCGTAGGTGCTATGTGTGATCCAAGCGACTAATAGATTTGAAGAATGTGAGTTAAATTTCAAGTCTGTTTTAGGAAGACGTATATCCTCATTAATAACACATACACCAAAATATATGAGGTGTGCATTGTAAACCCACAGTAGAGGGGAAGAGTTGTAAAGTCATGCTTTCCAGTATACTTCAAAGGCTCCATTTGCAGTTATGGGTTGATGTTTCCACCTCAGTTATTTTTAATGGGGAGTAGGGAGTAATATTTAACTGGTAGCATTCTTATCTAAGCATATAGTAAATATACTGCTAGTATTTGTGTGCCACACTGCAGTGATATAGAGATGAAACAAAACAAACATATTTCAGTTATGAAAAATTAACTCTCTGAATATTTGCTGATGGTTAGGGAACAGGGTTCCTTTATGAGAAGGAAAAAACTGTCTTTATCTTTATTGTCTGTAAGTATGGAAAAAACCTTACTTGTATGTATATTCACATTTTGGTAGGCATATTTGGAAGTCAACGTTTCCCATCAGTATAAATACCGACCATTTCTATGTTCTCTAGCAAAAGGAAATTCTTAGTTCGATACAACTTTACTCTTGTTCGACGTTGTAAAAGGTCCACAAAGGAAGGAGGCTCAGAAGGCTGGACATGTTACCCTTATATTCAGCACATTCATTTTATCTTTCAATAAAGAGAATCAGTAATTATTTGCCTCCTGTTTATCATCATGTTAAAAACATAAGAGTATAGTTACTTTTGTCTCTTACATTGCAAAAGATAGTTTTAATTTAGGCTTTGCCATATTATTTATAGTTAAGAATTTACTACATTTTGGTAGTCTTTTAAAACTTATATCTGAAAGATGCAGATCATGTCTGTCTATTTATTACACAGTGGGCTCTGTTTGCTGCAGAAAAGAGTGAAACTTTTAACTGCTTAGCACACTTGCCAGTGAGATATACCTGACAGAGCAGAGGTTATAACTTTGGCTCTAATTACTTTTAATAATGGTAAGAAAACGTGAGTTTTGTTTGTTTACATGCTGTTTACAATGGCATAATTTTTTAAATGTATACAAGAATTGAGATATTTATTGCATACTATTTTAAAGATGTTTTATGTGTTTTCACCTTTGGAATATATTGTTACAGTTCCTTATACAGATAATTTGGGTGGCTTTGTTAATGTAGCTAGTAATTTTTATGACTACTAAGTGACCAGTTTTCCGTGCCTTTTATTGTGGGGTGCATGATTATGTATTTATTGTACGGAAGTCACTGATGCGTGTATTTTTGTACTTTGCTGAGAGTAATGGTTGATCTTGATGTACATGATGATGAGAGATGCCTTTCCCGAAGGGCACTGCTTTGAGATTGTCCCTCTGAAATAAAGAGAATGCATTTGGAGTATGTGTGAAGTCTATATTCTTTCTGGTGGGAAATCTTACTTTTTGCGTTATTTTATTTTGAGATAATTGTAGATTCATGTACAGTTGTTTGAAATAATAGAGAGAGAGATCCTGTGTACCTTTTACCCATTTCCCTCCAATGATAACATCCTGCAAACCTATCGTACAGTATCACAGCCAGGATGCTGACATCGACACAGTCCAGATGCTGAACAGTTCTCTCACCATAAGGATCCCTCATGTTGCCCTTTTGTAGCCATACTTACTTCTCTCCCACCTCCACCCCCTGCTTAACCTGGGACAATGACTAATCTATCTCCACTACTATAATTTTGTCATTTTAAGAATGTTATATTAATGGAATCTTGTAGTATGTGACATTTTTTTTTCACTCAGCCTAATTTCCTAGAGATTCATCCAAATTGTTGTATGTATCAAGAGTTAGTTTCTTTTTACTGTTGAGTAATATTCCATCTGATGGGGGAATTCTTGATGGTAAAACATAATTTGGTTTATTCTTATAGTAGTGAGTCCTTAAAGTCCACCAATAAACACTTGTTAATAACTAAATGCATGACAGGTGTTGTCTCCAGAGGCAAGATCTATAAATAGATGTTTGAGATTACTGTCTAGTGAGGAATAAAGATGATCATAATACAGAGCCTTATGTGCAGTGATAAAGACAGCCACCAAGTGTGTGGGGAACACAGAGAAATGGAGGATGTAGAGGAGGTTAGGGGCGCCTCCCTTGGTAGGTGACATTGAGTTGAGTCTTAAAGCAGTTAGCCAGGGAAAGTATATGTGTGAGATGCAGAGGTAACAGTGCAAGGGAAGACAGCAAATCAGCATAGCGGGTACAGCTTGGCGTTGCTGAAGCATAAAGGGAGTGCAGCAAGAGACACGTGATGGAACTTGAGAGGCAAGGGCGGAACAATGCAATCAGCTTTTTCCCTGGAAAGACAGTGACCTCTGCGGGTGGAATTGACTTGCAAAGGGCCAAGGACAGGGGGTCAGCTAGCAGTCGTTGAAGAGCTCTAAGCAAGAGACAATGAGGGACTTCTTTAGGACAGTTTTAGTGGAAATGGAGAGGGAACAGATCTGAGAAATCTGAGGTGTAAATGGCCTGCGCTTGGAGACTGGCTGTGGATAAACTAGGAAGAGAGAAGAATCCCAGATTTCTCCCAACTGAAAAGGAAAGTACCACGGTCAAATTCAGATTCAGCATCATGGGTTTAAGATGATTGTAGGATGTCTATAAGATAGATGACGATGTTGGAGAGGGGTGTGGGAAGGAAATTACAGGTCTGGGAGTCCTTATCAGGTGGGTTGAAGACATTAGAGAAGATGAAATTGTCCTCAAAGACCCTTAAGCACTCAGAAAGGAGCCCCACAGAGCTGGGACTCAGACCTCTGAGGAAGGGTCTGTCCAGATAGTGCCTCTGGGAGATGGGTGCGATGAAGCTGATCTTGGGAGTGTCAGAGGAAGAAGCTGGATAATGGAACTAACTGCTTCTGTCAGAGTGAGAACCGGTGCCCAGGCGACACTGGCAGCAACAGTGAGCAAAACAGGAAGAGTGAGTCCTTTCTCCTCCTACCTTCCAGTTTCCCTCGTGTGCTCCCCATTGTTAGAACAGGCAGGAAACCAGCTGGCAAGGGAGTAATATCATTTGTATTGCAGAGCCCCAGCCCCAGCATCACAGAGCAGAGTCTCAAAGGGTGTCTTTGGAGCTAAGAGGTAACAGTTTAATAAGTGGCCACTAGGTATAATGAGGCACTCTTCTTTAAAAACAACAGTCTTTATCACATTCAGTGACAAGTGGGGCACGAAGCTGCCCCAGGAGGAATAGTTGATGGAATGGAGTATTCTTAGCTTGAAAAAGAGAACATTCAGGGGTGAGGAGTGGAGGTAGAGGTGGGAGGAGAGGAGGTTGGACGTAAGAGCTGTCTAAATATTTGAGGGACTGTCATGGAGAATTGGGCTTGAGTTTGTTCTAAATGAGATGAGCAAGTGAAATTGACAGGAAAAACTGTGATGTCTGAAAATGCACCAGGCCATCTCACAGAATGAGTTCCGCCTTGGGAGAAGGGTTCAAACAGAGGCTGAGAGCCTGCGAACTCCATGGGGGAAGAAAAGTTTTCACTGCTGTATTCCAATGTATGGAACAGTGCTTGGCACACGGTATGTGCACAATATCTATTTGTTGACTGAGTCAGAAGTAATTCAAGCATCAGATCAGAGGACCAGAACACCTTGGGGTCCCTTTCAGTCTTGCAATTGATTATATATAAAGGTAAAATATGCAAAGTCCTAACCAAATTAGGAAACAAATGAACCAGAGTTTTAACTCCAAAAAAACTTGTTATCCAGCATCCCTTTAAAAGCAAGTCCCTGTTAACCAAAACTTTCACGAATCTCTATGGTGACCCTGAGACACTGCCTCATTCTGAAGGACTGTCTGAATCATCATATTAAATTACTTTTACTTTAAAATGCAAATTGTATTTTATTATATGCTAATTCTTTAAAGTAGTTATTTGTTTACATAGCCATAATTCTTGATTAATCACAAGGCCCATTCCCTAATCTTGGCAGCTAACAGTTGATAGTCTGTTTTACTCCATTCAGGCTGCTGTAACAGAATACCACAGACTGGCTGGATTTTAAACAGCAGAAATTTATTCCTTACAGTTCTGGAGGCTTCCAGACCAAGATCAGGGCAGCAGGAAATTTGGTGTGGTGAGAGCCGACTTTCTGTTTTGTAAATGGCTGTCTTCTCCCTGTGTCCTCACATGGCAGAAGGGGCCAGGGAGCAATCTGGGATCTCTTTTATAAGGGCTCTACTTCCATTTATGAGGGCTATGCTCTCATGACCTAATCCCAAAGACCTCACCTCCAATACCATCAGCTTGGGGGTTAGGATTTCACCATTCAGACTACAGCATAGTGCTAGCAAATTAGGATTTTCACCAGTATATATAAATATAGTAGATTTTTCTGTATTGCTATTATCGTTTTGGAAATAAGAATCGTCCCAGTAGTCTAAAGATCTGAACCCCATTTTCCTTCCCTAGCTCTGGCCCTTCTGTCTTCCTTAGTCCTTGTGTCATGGCTGGTGCATTCACAAAATGTGACAGTCAGCGCTGTGATTGATAACATTCTGGTGCTTGTCTTGTGGCTGGGATGTGGGTACCAACCACAAGAATAAGAGGCTAAAGATAAAAAATAGTAGCATCTTAGCATTATTTAGATAGAACTACTTGGTTTGAAGCACTGTATGTACATTTAATCCTCATAACAACCCCTAAGTTTAGCATTAGCCCCATTTGAAAGGTCCTCACACCATCCACCCAATTCCAGTTGGTTCTGCGTCTGCTTCTGGCTGTGACATTTTAGATAAATGTGGACATTGAGCACTAACCTTCCTTAAAGGAGTGACACTGACTTACCAAGTAGGAAGCGGCCCCAAGAACCATAGGGAGTCAGCTAACGCATGTTCTCCGCATGTCTCTTCTCCCATCTCCTCCCACCCAAATCCATGCACCATAGCACCCTAGCACCTGAGAGAAAGTCCACAAATGAAAGGCACCTTAGAGTATATCACTTAATTTTTTTCAGACTTTTTTGACTGCTACCCACAGTGAGAAATACATTTTCCACAGTATGCACAAATATATATGTATATGTGTATAGATATATACACACATATATGCATATACATAAACATACGTTTATATATTAACAAGTTTACCAAAACGGCACTTATTTACATGCAATTTGTTTTAATATTTTCTATTTTGTTTTTTAAAACACTGATTGCAACCTATTAAAATCATTTTATAACCACTAATGAAGGGGTCAGCAAACTTCTTCCGTAAAGGGCCAGATAGTAAATATTTTTGGCTTTGTGAGCCATGTGGTCTCTGTCAGGTCTGTTTAACTCTGCCATTGCAGCAGGAAAGCAGCCACAGACAATAAGTAAATGATGGACATGACTGTATTCCAATAAAATGTTGTTTACAGAAGCAGACAGCAACCCAACCCCTGCACTAATAGGTCACAGCCCACAGTTCCTCAGTTTTAAAAATGTGGCACTACTTCAGCAGTTTCCAGTGCTCAGCTGACTGCTCAAGAATGATCTGGAAAGGATGTTAAAAAAGGTCCAGACCTACCCTAGACCTATGGAACTGGAATCTCTTGGGGATAAGTCAGGGCTGCCACTTTGCTCACCGTCTTTGGGTGATTCTCGCCTGTGACCAGGGTTCGGGATCACTGGTCTGATGCCATCTCTCCACTAACCCCAGCCCCTATTTTGCAGAAAATAAACTAAAGCTTGAAAGGCTATGTTCTGGGCTCCAAGCGATTGTCAACAAATTTAAAGAACCTAGGTCCTAAAAACTAGCAACTCTTAGCACAGTGTGGTTAAGTTGGAAATTAACAAGAAGTCTGAAACAGACTTATAATTTGTTAAACGCATATCCCTGCAGAAATTCAGCAAAAGTGATAACCAATTAAAGGGCAGAAGCCACTGCTCATTAAACTGACAATAAGAATATTAAACATCTCAAGGCTCCTGTAAAAGGTTGTTCAGCCCAAAGGCATAAATGCCTAAAAGCTCATTACTCCGTGATGACAATTTTTCAACCAACAAGAAACACCAATATGTAACACTCTAATTTGCTTAATTTCGTTTGATGAACTATGCAATTTCAATAGGAAATCGAATTATTAAAGCCTATCAGCTGATTTGAAAGTGATTATAGCATGCTGGCAATGTATTTTACTTTTTTGCTCTGAAGTCTTTTTTAAATTTAAAAAGTAAAATCCAGTCTCTATTTTTATCAAGATAGAAATTATCTTGATACAGCCTTAATATATGGACTTCAATATATTGAAACAATAAAATGAGTAAAAATAGGCACAAGCAAATATTGAGAATTAAAAATGAAGATTAGTGAATTAATTCATTGTAAGGCTCTGTGAACTTAAATATCAACGTATAT